AAAATTTGACTTGATTCCGCTTATATTTACTGAGATACTGTCAATGAAAGATTTTGTATAAAAAATCCAAAGGGGTAGTCTTAAAAAATGATAATTTTCAATTTTCCAATTTTTGTAGAATGGACTTTCCCAATGGAAAAAGCAGGTCAAAATTACTCAGAAACAAATCCTAGATTATTTTCAGGAGGTTGATTTTGTGAGAAAAAAAAATTGAATAGCAAATCCTAATTTTGGCCTCGGAATTTTTTTTAAAATCTGACATGGTCCCACAAATTTGCTCACAATTTTGACAATTCTCAAGGAATCAACTTGTATTATAGATTTTCTGAAAGAGGATTAAATTCTCTATAAAACCTCCAAAAACTAAATCAATTCCTCATACAGGCTTTGAGAAATTAGGCTTCAAAGTTGGAATTTGATTGAGATTTTATCAAAAACTTCAAGATCAAATAACTCATAAACTACAAGTGATAAAAATATTTTTCAAATAAGATATTGAAGTACTCAATGAGAGTTACAAACTCAATAAAATTTGACTTGATTCCGCTTATATTTACCGAGATACTGTCAATGAAAGATTTTGTATAAGAAATCTAAAAGGGGTAAGTAAGCCTTGAAAAATGAAAATTTCCAATTTTCCAATTTTTGTAAAATAGACTTTCCCAATGGAAAAAGCAGGTCAAAATTACTCAGAAACAAATCCTAGCTTATTTTCAGGAGGTTGATTTTGTGAGAAAAAAAATTGAATAGCAAATTCTAATTTTGGCCTCGGAATTTTTTAAAAATCTGACATGGTCTCACAAATTTGCTCACAATTTTGATAATTCTCAAGTAATCAACTTGTATTATAGATTTTCTGAAAGAGGATTAAATTCTCTATAAAACCTCCAAAAACTAAATCAATTCCTCTTACAGGCTTTGAGAAATTAGGCTTTAAAGTTGGAATTTGATTGAGGTATTATCAAAAACTTCAAGATCAAATAACTCATAAACTACTAGTGATAAAAATATTTTCTAAATATAGCATTGAAGTACTCAATGAGAGCTACAAACCCAGAAAAATTTGACTTGATTCCGCTTATATTTACTGAGATACTGTCAATGAAAGATTTTGTATAAAAAATCCAAAGGGGTAGTCTTAAAAAATGATAATTTTCAATTTTCCAATTTTTGTAGAATGGACTTTCCCAATGGAAAAAGCAGGTCAAAATTACTCAGAAACAAATCCTAGATTATTTTCAGGAGGTTGATTTTGTGAGAAAAAAAATTGAATAGCAAATCCTAATTTTGGCCTCGGAATTTTTTTTAAAATCTGACATGGTCCCACAAATTTGCTCACAATTTTGACAATTCTCAAGGAATCAACTTGTATTATAGATTTTCTGAAAGAGGATTAAATTCTCTATAAAACCTCAAATAATTAAATCAATTGCTCTTATGGGTTTTGAGAAATTAGGCTTCAAAGTTGGCATTTGATTGAGATTTTATCAAAAACTTCAAGATCAAATAACTCAAAAACTACAAATGATAAAAATATTTTTTAAATAAGGTATTAAAGTACTCAATGAGAGCTACAAACTCAGAAAAATTTGACTTGATTTCGCTTATATTTACTGAGATACTGTCAATGAAAGATTTTGTATAAAAAATCCAAAAATGAAAATTTTCAATTTTCCAATTTTTGTACAATGGACTTTCCCAATGGAAAAAGCAGGTCAAAATTACTCAGAAACAAATCCTAGATTATTTTCAGGAGGTTGATTTTGTGAGAAAAAAAATTGAATAGCAAATCCTAATTTTGGCCTCGGAATTTTTTTTAAAATCTGACATGGTCCCACAAATTTGCTCACAATTTTGACAATTCTCAAGGAATCAACTTGTATTATAGATTTTCTGAAAGAGGATTAAATTCTCTATAAAACCTCAAATAATTAAATCAATTGCTCTTATGGGTTTTGAGAAATTAGGCTTCAAAGTTGGCATTTGATTGAGATTTTATCAAAAACTTCAAGATCAAATAACTCAAAAACTACAAATGATAAAAATATTTTTTAAATAAGGTATTAAAGTACTCAATGAGAGCTACAAACTCAGAAAAATTTGACTTGATTTCGCTTATATTTACTGAGATACTGTCAATGAAAGATTTTGTATAAAAAATCCAAAAATGAAAATTTTCAATTTTCCAATTTTTGTACAATGGACTTTCCCAATGGAAAAAGCAGGTCAAAATTACTCAGAAACAAATCCTAGATTATTTTCAGGAGGTTGATTTTGTGAGAAAAAAAAATTGAATAGCAAATTCTAATTTTGGCCTCGGAATTTTTTTTAAAATCTGACATGGTCCCACAAATTTGCTCACAATTTTGACAATTCTCAAGGAATCAACTTGTATTATAGATTTTCTGAAAGAGGATTAAATTCTCTATAAAACCTCCAAAAACTAAATCAAATCCTCTTACAGGCTTTGAGAAATTAGGCTTCAAAGTTGGAATTTGATTGAGATTTTATCAAAAACTTCAAGATCAAATAACTCATAAACTACAAATGATAAAAATATTTTTAAAATAAGGTATTAAAGTACTCAATGAGAGCTACAAACTCAGAAAAATTTGACTTGATTCCGCTTATATTTACTGAGATACTGTCAATGAAAGATTTTGTATAAAAAATCCAAAGGGGTAGTCTTAAAAAATGAAAATTTTCAATTTTCCAATTTTTGTACAATGGACTTTCCCAATGGAAAAAGCAGGTCAAAATTACTCAGAAACAAATCCTAGATTATTTTCAGGAGGTTGATTTTGTGAGAAAAAAAATTGAATAGCAAATCCTAATTTTGGCCTCGGAATTTTTTAAAAATCTGACATGGTCTCACAAATTTGCTCACAGATTTTGTAATTTTCAACGAATCAACTTGTATTATAGATTTTCTGAAAGAGGATTAAATTCTCTATAAAACCTCCAAAAAACTAAATCAATTTCTTTAATAGGCTTTGATAAATTAGGCTTCAAAGTTGGAATTTGATTAAGATTTTATCAAAAACTTCAAGATCAAATAACTCATAAAGTACAAGTGATAAAAATATTTTTTAAATAAGATATTGAAGTACTCAATGAGAGCTACAAACTCAAAAAAATTTGACTTGATTCCGCTTATATTTACCGAGATACTGTCAATGAAAGATTTTGTATAAGAAATCTAAAAGGGGTAAGTAAGCCTTGAAAAATGAAAATTTCCAATTTTTGTAAAATAGACTTTCCCAATCGAAAAGGGAGGTCAAAATTAGTCGGAAACAAGTCCTTGATTATTTTCAGGAGTTTGATTTTATAAGAAAAAAAATTGAATAGCAATATATACAGTGTGTCCCAGGGAAAAAAGTCCATCTCCCTGGGACACCCTGTATATATATTAATTAATGATGGAATATATGATACGTTCCCTTTTTTATATTTTGCACCATTTATTAATAAAATATACAAAGTCTTGTACGGGATCTTACAGCTCAGCTTCCTTGGTCCCTACTTTTACCAAGACTTTCACAAATTATTTTGAAATATACAGAGTGGTTCGAAAAAGTTTCAAACTAAAGTGTCCCTGATGGAAAGCATATGACACGGATAAGCAACTCATATATAAATACTGTCAAAGGTCTGTATACCAATACAGCTCAAACAACTTTCCAAAAAGTTCCCAAAAACAAAAGGTCTAAGTCAAGCAGGCTGCTCCCTTGCCGCACTGCACATTCTAGAAAACTCCTCAGTTCATGTTTGTCACGTGATTTTGACCAATCCTTGACAGCATCTATTTTTCCACAAGTTCTCCATATAAGGCCTCGAAAAACTAGATGCATCAGTCGCGGGAGCATTATACAATCCGAAAGGCATTATGTTAAATTAGTATAACCCGCTTGCAGTACTGAAGGCAATTCTTTCTTTGTTATCTTTGTGTATTGCCACTTGCTCAGCATCCACTTTTGGGATCCAAGGTGGAAAACAATTTGGAGCACGATGAGAGTTGTGCCATCGTTTATTCTTAAGAGAAGGAAACTGTCTTTCTTAGTGACGTCATTAAAAGCTTACGGTAGTCCACACAAAATTTTCGTAATCAATACTTCTGGCGGTCCTTCCATTTTTGCTTATTGTCTCGTAATAGGCATATACAAAATGTTGTAGAATTTCCCTCAAACTTTCTTCAAATATCTTTCCTGGTCTTTGCTTGAAGTTCTAAATACGCCGGTGAAGTCACAAATTGGATAACTTGCTTAATTCTCAGATAGAATGTTCTAGAATTTTCTGAATGTCAATTGATATAGCAAACACGTCAGTGAAGTCACAAATTCAATATCTCCCCTGGCCTCCAAATAGAATGTTCTAGAATTCTCACGAAATTCTCCCTCTGAATGACGTTTGATGTATCCGGCGAATCAGAAATTCGACATCTCCCCTGGTTTCCGAATAGAACCCACTTGAAAATTCACTATCACAGTCAAAATCGGGTCTACAGTCACTTTTGGGACAATTTACACGATCGGTCAAGTCTCTCTCGGCGATTGTCATTGCTTACTCCAACTTACCATCCCAGTGTTTACTCAGTGTTCATACACTAAGGTCCGCAATAGTCCGCACCATTCTGCAATAGGACTTCACTCCGCAGTCCTCGAATTACATCTCACTTCCGACACCAACGTCCCGCCTCTGAGGTGCGCGACAAAAATCTTGGATTCGTTTATTCCAAAAATCAAAGTCCGATTAACACAACAATAATTCATTCCATGCTACTATACACTCTGAAACCGAGCACTTCACCAATTAACTCAAACGACTAAACTCCTTACAACAAATCAGATCACAGTCAATCTTAAACTTAAAACTAGCAGCCAATACCGGCCTTTATATATCCGCAATCTATTCGTGTAGAATCCAGAATAAACACGATTTTATATTCAAATTACTCTAGAGCGTCTTAAAATGCATTCAAAATTGTTCTCTTTTTGTTCTAGACTGATTCAATATGCCATCTGCATCAGAACCCGGCGCTGAGACGGCAAACGAACCCAAAACTAATATAAACCCAAGCTCAGAGTCAGAAGATATTATTATTAATTCCTCAGTGGTTTCACAAAAAGAAGAAACAGAAGAGGAAATTCTAAACAAAATCGAAACTGAAGCAATGGATGTTGGTGGAGGAGAAAATTTGGATTCTCACGCCGAAGATAGTATTTTAAATGAAGAAGAGGAGCACCGGCAAACGGATAAAAATGAAGAGCACCAGCAAACAGATAAAGAAGAAGAGCATCAGCAAATGGACAAAGAAGAAGAGCACCAGCAAACGGACAAAGACGAAGACAACATTGTCCTTAATAGTATCGACGATGATTACGAAAACAGTGCCGATAGAGAATTCAAGAGTTTATACGAAGAAGACTGCAATGAAACACCTAAAGTTGATCAAATGGAGGTCGATCAGATAGAAGAACCTGTTGTAGATAAAGTAAAAGAAAATGAACCTTCCACTAGCAATGGTCCTGACAATAAAACTCAAATTAATGAGGAGCCTGAAAAAGCAATCCAAAAACCACTCGAACCCACAGTACCAATGCCCATAAAAGAAGAGCCTGATGATGAAGAAGAAGAATCCAAAGTACCAGATGTCCCAGACGAAACTCCAACTGACAAATCCCCAGAAGACGAAGTTGATCTTTTAGACATTTCAATGGTACGTGAAACGGAAGAAGACGACGCTTGCGCAATAGCTGACGCCTTAGACGACAAAGAAACTCAAAGATCAGACGAAGATCAGAGCGAAAAAGCTGAAACGGAACAAGATAATAGTGATGGTGATGGAGCCACACAAGACGATGATGGAGTCACACAAGAAGATGATGGAGTTACACAAGAAGATGATGGAGTCACACAAGACGATGATGCACCTACACAAGACGATGATAATACCGCAAACGGATTTGCAGATGATAATAACATGGAGTGTGATAATGACAAAGAAGCTTCAAAAGAGATTATTAAAGAAGAAGAAGCAGAAACTAAGGAAATAGTTGTTGAAGAAAATGATTTAGTTGTAGTTGAAGATGACGCTGCGTTAGATAAAACTGATATAATTGATCGAGACAAGGAAGCTGATGAAGAAGAGGTGACAATAGATGAAGTTAAAGTAGGCGATGGTGAGTTGTCAATAATAACTAATAAAAATTTTTCCTTAATAATTCCAATTTCTAGATAAAAGAAAATCCAAACGCACCCTTTCAATTAACGGAACAGACAAACCCAATGCCAAAAAACCCAAATTGCTTAATAATGAGAAACCAATCCAAAATCAAAATGAACCAGTAGAAACTCAAAACAGGGAAACTTCTTTAGAAACACCGCTACCACCAAAAGAACCTGAGGAGAGTTACAAAGTTCAAACTCTAAAAACGTTTGCCGAAATCATGAAATGCCAAACCCTCACAAACAAACTAACCAGGTCGAATTTAGAAGAAATTTGCCTTCAGAAAATATGCGAAGCTGTTGTGCTGAAAACCTCAAATGGCCAACTACATGATACAATCAGAAAACACGAAGAAGCTTTGGCAGCTTTCCGTAAAGACATAAACCAAATGAATAAACAATATAGAGATTTGGATATTGTGCACAAGAAACTTTTAGCGGAACTAAAAACTTTAAAAGAAGAAAAAATTGCAAAGCCTTTGGTACCTTTAAAAATTACTCGTTCAGTGGGACTTCAAGTGAGACTGACCCCTGGACATGATGCCAATCAGACCAGAAACAGAAGACCGTCAACTGTTGTTCAACAAAAAGGAATTTTAAGTCCTCTTGGTAGGCAAGTTGTCAAAAAAGTGGTACAACAACCAACACCTGCCAGACAAGTAAAAGATTTTATATTTATTTTAAATTTTTATTTTATTTATTCATTGTTTTAGGTTGCGTCTCCTCAAAAACCCCTAGCAAAACCAGCTCCAGTAAACAGCGCCCCAATGTTGAGTCAAGCCCTACAAAAAACCAGACCTAAACAAATAATTGCAAAGCGAACAACCATTAGTCCGATTAAAAAGCCTGCAGAAATTGCCAAAAAGCCTCTTAATCCTGGAGTTATTGATTTAACAGATGAGGATGACAAGAGATCTGGTACCAATGGGATTAAGTTTAGAACGGTTCCAGCTAATGCTAGAGTGGTTTCGAATGGGAATAAAGCACCTGTTGGCGGTGCTAAATCGTCACCTACTCAGGTAAAATATTTTGATTTCATTGTATTCAATGATTATTTGGTTCATGTTAATTGGAATTAATGATTTGAGTAGGATGCTCTATGGTTTTATGAAACATTGTGGGTTTCAGTGAGGAAATTCAGAAGTTCTAACTTTCCTATGTGTGATTCAAGGAGGAAACTTTTAGAATAGAAAGGGGAAGGTTACAAGCCCATTATGAATTTCAAATTGATTCAATAACCACTTGAAAAGTTCTTGGGCATAAACTTTGAAAATTACCTATGTACATCCTCTTACATTCTTATATTTCTCCAAAAAACTGTTAAATGTTGAAATTTCTAGAAAAGGAATATACTAGAATTTCAAATGGTTCCGACAACCACACGAACAGTTGTTGGGCTTAGACTATGAAAATAACCAATAAAATTAATATAAATAAAAACATTCTCTTGCACTCTTATATTTTTCCAAAGAACTGTTGAGGAGAACATTTTGAAACTTTCAGTATAGAAAAAGGAAGGTTAAAAGTTCATTATACTAGAATTTCAAATGGATCTAACAACCACTCAAAAAGTTCTTGGGTTTAGACTGTGAAAATGACCAATAAAATTAATGTAAATAGGAACATCCTCTTGCACTCTTGTATTTTTGCAAAGAACTGTTGAGGAGGATTTTTTGAAACTTTCAGTATAGAAAAAGGAAGGTTAGAACTTCATTATACTAGAATTTCAAATGGATCTAACAACCATATGAAAAGTTCTTGGGCTTAGACTGTGAAAATGACCAATAAAATTAATGTAAATAGGAACATCCTTTTGCACTCTTGTATTTTTCCAAAGAACTGTTGAGGAGAATATTTTGAAACTTTCAGTATAGAAAAAGGAAGGTTAGAACTTCATTATACTAGAATTTCAAATGGATATAACAACCACTCAAACAGTTCTTGGGCTTAGACTGTGAAAATGACCAATAAAATTAATGTAAATAGGAACATCCTCTTGTACTCTTATACTTTTCCAAAGAACTGTTGAGGAGAATATTTTGAAACTTTCAGTATAGAAAAAGGAAGGTTAGAACTTCATTATACTGGAATTTCAAGTGGATAGGGATTTCTTGAGCGTTTAGTCCTTGCAAAATGGGCTTTTGTATATTAAAATTATTGAATTTTTATTTTTATTGTAGAACAAACCTGCCAATAAACTACCGACGGCTCTACCACAAGGCTTAAGACTAACACCTTCAGGAAACAGCACAACCAGTTCACCTCAAATGGTTTACGTAGTACCTACAATCACCTCAAACGCAGGAGGCCAGCAAAAAGTTGCTTTTGTCAATTTCCAACCTTCACTATGTAAGTTTTAAACAAATAATTAATCAATACACAATGTATTAATAATTATTTTTAATTTGCAGCTGGTACTCTTAATGGTGCAGTTCTCAATAAACCCGGACAAAGTCTTACAATAAAAAACATTGCAGCTACAAGTACAGTGAGTAGCTCTAGTAGATCAAAACATCCGGCCCCATTGCCAGTTGCCATCAGAGCAAACTCAGATCCAAATTTGAAGCTTACTCTACCTAAACCTTTACTAACAATTAAAAAACTTGACAACGGCATAATTTTACAATGGAAAATGCCTTATAACTTGGATTTATATGAAAAAATTGCCAGTTATCAGTTATATGCGTATCAAGAGAGTACAGCATTGCCTAGTTCTGAAATGTGGCGGAAAGTTGGGGATGTTAAAGCATTAGCTTTGCCTATGGCATGTACATTGACGCAATTCGCTGATAAAAATAAGTATTATTTCGCTGTGAGGGCGGTGGACGTGTACACGAGAATTGGGGCGTTTAGTGATCCTGAAGAGATTTCCTTATAAAAGACTGTATGTGAATTGTTGTATATATGAAAAGAGAATTTTGTTTTCTTAGGTGATATAATCAAGTTAGAAGACTTTTATGTTTAATTATTTTTTGGGCCTTATCAAGTTCATAAACATTGTCTAATTAAGTTATAAGATTATTTTAATTTTGATATTTTTTGGCCCTTATTTGTTCTATAAACATTATATGTCCTGTATATACCTATTTAGATTTTAACGATTGGTATCATTGATTCATTAGTTACTAAGTGTGATTATTTTCGAATTAATTTAGTTTTTCTATTTGTTTCATTTCTATTTTCCATTAATTAATAAAGACGTTTATGAAAATGTGGGATTATTCAGTAGCGGTGCTTGGATACACTGGGTCAAGACAATCAACTCAAGAGTTGCTAATGAATAATTGAAATTGTGATTATTATTGGCTCTCGAGTCTTGAATGCCTTAAGAACAATTCTCTAGGGAATCCAGAGTTGGTAAAAGTTTGAATTTTGACTTTTACCGGCTCTTGATTGGCTCTAGGGTTTTCAAAGAATCCAAAGAAAAACTTTCATCAATAATTGATAATTTAGATGTAAAACAACCAAGTGTAGGAGAAAAAAAAGGAAACTTTTTGCATGTACAGAGAAAGGTTAGAAGCTCATTTTCCCTAAATTTCAAATTTTCCCAGTGGAAAATAACAACATGAAGAATCTTGGAAATTAATTAATTGAAAATACACTCTTGCACATTTTAAAGTTTTCTTGGAAAACTAATGAAGGAAAAAATTTGAAACTTTTTGCATGTAAAGAGGAAGGTTAGAGGCTCATTTTCCCAAAATTTCGAGTTTTTCCAATGGAAAATAATAATATGAAGAATCTTGGAAATCAATTTACAATAACTGTAATAATTGAAAATACAGTCTTGCACATTTCAAAGTTTTCCTGGAAAACTAATGAAGGGGAAAATTTGAAACTTTTAACATATAAAGAGGAAGATTAAAGGCTCATTTTCCCAAAATTTCAAATTTTTCCAGTAGAAAATAACAACATGAGGACTCTTGGATTTCTTGGAAATTAACCTACAATAAGTGAATTAATTGATCATACAGTCTCACACATTTCAAAGTTTTCCTGGAAAACTAGTGCAAGGAAAAATTTGAAACTTTTTACATGTAAAGAGGAAGATTAAAGGCTCAGTCTCCCAAAATTCCAAATTTTTCCAATGGAAAATATAACACGAAGAATCTTGGAAATCAACCTACAATAACTATATTAATTGAAAATACAGTCTTGCACATTTCAAAGTTTTCTTGGAAAACTAGTAAAGAGAAAAATTCGAAACTTTTTGCATGTAAAGAGGAAGGTTAGAGGCTCATTTTCCCAAAATTTTGAATTTTTCCAATGGAAAATAACAACATGAAGAATCTTGGAAATCAACCTACAATAACTGTATTAATTGAAAATACACTCTTGCACATTTTAAAGTTTTCCTGGAAAACTTGTGGGGGGAAAAATTTGAAACTTTTTGCATGTAAAGAAGAAGGTTAGTGGTTCGTTTTCCCAAAATTTCAAATTTTTCCAGTGGAAAATAAGAACATGAAGAATCTTGGAAATCAACCCACAATAACTGTATTAATTGAAAATACATTCTAGCACATTTTAAAGTTTTCCTGGAAAACTAGTAGAGAGCAAAATTTGAAACTTTTTACATGTAAAGAGGAAGACTAAAGGCTCATTTTCCCAAAATTCCAAAGTTTTTTAGTAGAAAATAACAACACGAAGAATCTTGGAAATCAACCTACAACAACTGTATTCATTGAAAATACAGTCTTGCACATCTCAAAGTTTTCTTGGAAAACTAATGAAGGAAAAAATTTGAAACTTTTTGCATGTAAAGAGGAAGGTTAGAGGCTCATTTTCCAAAAATTTCGAGTTTTTCCAATGGAAAATAATAATATGAAGAATCTTGGAAATCAATTTACATTAACTGTAATAATTGAAAATACAGTCTTGCACATTTCAAAGTTTTCCTGGAAAACTAGTGCAAGGAAAAATTTGAAACTTCTTGCATGTAAAGAGGAAGATTAAAGGCTCATTTTCCCAAAATTTCCAATTTTTCTAGTGGAAAATAACAACATGAGGAATCTTGGATTTCTTGGAAATTAACCTACAATAACTGAATTAATTGATCATACAGTCTCACACATTTCAAAGTTTTCCTGGAAAACTAGTGCAAGGAAAAATTTGAAACTTTTTGCATGTAAAGAGGAAGATTAGAGGCTCATTTTCCCAAAATTTCAAATTTTTCCAGTGGAAAATTAACCTACAATAACTGAATTACCTAATTGATCATACAGTCTCACACATTTCAAAGTTTTGCTGGAAAACTAGTGCAAGGAAAAATTTGAAACTTTTTGCATATAAAGAGGAAGATTAAAGGCTCATTTTCCTAAAATTCCAAATTTTTCCAATGGAAAAATAACAACATGAAGAATCTTGGAAATCAACCCACAATAACTGTATTAATTGAAAATACAGTCTTGCACATTTCAAAGTTTTCTTGGAAAACTAGTGGAGGGAAAAATTTGAAACTTTTTGCATGTAAAGAGGAAGGTTAGAGGCTCATTTTCCCAAAATTTTGAATTTTTCCAATGGAAAATAACAACATGAAGAATCTTGGAAATCAACCTACAATAACTGTATTAATTGAAAGTACACTCTTGCACATTTTAAAGTTTTCCTGGAAAACTAGTGGAGGGAAAAATTTGAAACTTTTCGCATGTAAAGAAGAAGGTTAGAGGTTCGTTTTCTCAAAATTTCAAATTTTTCCAGTGGAAAATAAGAACATGAAGAATCTTGGAAATCAACCCACAATAACTGTATTAATTGAAAATACATTCTAGCACATTTTAAAGTTTTCCTGGAAAACTAGTAGAGAGCAAAATTTGAAACTTTTTACATGTAATAAGAGGATCGAAGACTAAAGGCTCATTTTCCCAAAATTCCAAATTTTTCCAGTGGAAAATAACAACACGAAGAATCTTGGAAATCAACTTACAACAACTGTATTCATTGAAAATACAGTCTTGCACATCTCAAAGTTTTCTTGGAAAACTAATGAAGTAAAAAATTTTAAACTTTTTGCATGTAAAGAGGAAGGTTAGAGGCTCATTTTCCCAAAATTTCAAATTTTTCCAGTGGAAAATAACATGAGGAATCTTGGATTTCCTGGAAATTAACCTACAATAACTGAATTAATTGATCATACAGTCTCACACATTTCAAAGTTTTCCTGGAAAACTAGTGCAAGGAAAAATTTGAAACTTTTTGCATATAAAGAGGAAGATTAAAGGCTCATTTTCCCAAAATTTCAAATTTTTCCAGTGGAAAATAACAACATGAAGAATCTTGGAAATCAACCTACAATAACTGTATTAATTGAAAATACAGTCTTGCACATTTCAAAGTTTTCTTGGAAAACTAGTGAAGAGAAAAATTCGAAACTTTTTGCATGTAAAGAGGAAGGTTAGAGGCTCATTTTCCCTAAATTTCAAATTTTTTCCAGTGGAAAATAACAACATGAAGAATCTTGAAAATCAACCTACAATAACTGTATTAATTGAAAGTACACTCTTGCACATTTTAAAGTTTTCCTGGAAAACTAGTCGAGGGAAAAATTTGAAACTTTTTGCATGTGCAGAGGAAGGTTAGAGGCTCATTTTCCCAAAATTTCAAATTTTTCCAGTAGAAAATAACAACATATGAAGAATTTTGAGAGTCAACCTACAGTAACTGTATTAATTCAAGATTTCAAAATTTTCCTGGAAAAGTCATATGAATGAGAAGAACAAGAAAACCAAAAATCAAGAGCCGAGAATAAACAAAAAATTAAGAAATTTTAAAAAATAAAACCTAAACCCAATAATTATTATATTGTTTCACCTTTTGTCAAGATTGTAAATTATCATGACCTCCAACTAAAACCGATAAGAAATAAATACATAAATTAGTTATAAGCAAACAAAATTTGTTTAGTAATAAAGCAACATGTTGACAAGGAATCTTCTCATTAATTTACCAAAAACTGTTAGAAAATATTCACAAAAATCACCTTGTGATGATGTGATTTTCAATTACCTACAAGGCTCTCACGAAGGAATCACAATTTTAGGTAAGCATAACTTTACTCCTCATCTCCCATTACAGTTGAAGTTACCTATTTTAGGTTTGAACAGATCTGAACAAAAAAATGCATTCAGCATTAACTTAGTCAACCAACTCCACCACTATATTGATAAACTCAAATATGAAAACCGCACTAAAGTGGCTATACTCAGAAGCACGAGCCCCAAAATCTTCTGCGCTGGAGCTGACTTAAAAGAACGCGCAGAAATGACCCCCAAACAAGTATCAGACTTTGTCACAAACCTCAGAAGCCTAATGAGCAAATTACAAAACATCCCTGTACCTGTATTAGCTGCAATTGACGGTGTAGCCTTAGGAGGAGGCCTAGAAATCGCCCTAGCCTGTGATATCAGAGTAGCATCTTCTGATGCAAAAATGGGCCTTGTTGAAACAAAACTTGCCATTATACCTGGTGCAGGAGGTACTCAAAGACTACCAAGGATTGTTGGTGTTTCAAAAGCAAAAGAATTGATTTTTAGTTCAAGGGTTTTAAATGGAAATGGGGCATTTGGAATTGGGTTGGTTAATCATGTGGTGGATCAGAACGAATCTGGAGATGGGGCTTATCAAAAATGTTTGACTATTGCGGAGGAAATTGTGCCTAATGGGCCTTTGGCTATACAAATGGCCAAACAAGCTATTAATAGAGGAATTGAAGTGGATTTATATACAGGTTTATTGGAATAAGTTTATTGGTTTTTACTAAATTGTGTTTATTGTAGGTTTAGCCATTGAAGAAGCTTGCTATGCTCAAATTATACCTACCAAAGACAGATTAGAAGGTTTAAGGGCTTTTAAAGAAAAAAGAAAACCCAAATATCAAGGGGCATGATTGATTATATGTATTTTTATAAATTAAACAATTTTTCTAATTGTGCTTTGGTGTCTTCTGGACTAGTAACCTTATGTCCAATAACTCTTTTATCGTTAAATATTTCATAGTCGTTGCCGCCTTTGTCAGTTTTGTCTCCAAAAAAGTGAATTTCATCAAAACCTATGAATAAAGTTTTAAACATATAACAATGATTAGTTTAGTAGGTACCTACCTTCTTTTTCTAGAAACCTTAAACAATAAGTCTTATCCCATCCATTAGGAAACACATCAAAACTTATTTGTCCACCTATACTATAAGTAAATCCAATATCTGGAAATTCTTTTTCAATTGCCTGAATCATGCTGGCACGAATTCTATGTTCCAGGTCATATTTTTCAAAGGCATCTCTTTCTTCTTGAGAGCAAGAGCGACCTATTGGGCTTATATTCAACATTCCTGCTCTAAATTCGATAAAAGTACCACGCTTTACTGGTAGGATTATTTTGGATAAGTAGCCTAAAGCAAAGTTGATTATTTTCTGGAGTTTTTCTTCGCCCATGTGTTTTTGGATGTTTTGTTTTGCTGAAAATTAGTGTGTTGATGAGTTGTTTTGAGGTGTTTGTAAATTAAACCTTCTTCTTTTCCCTGTTTGAAGTATACTAGGCCGTTTTCTGCGAAGACGTAATCGTAACGGTGGATAAGATCATCTCCAAGCATTTGCTCAGAGATTTTTCTAAGGTCTGAACCACCCACAATACCTACAAAGGAAAAAAGTTATCAGCAAGTATATTCTAGTCCTAATTTGTATTGTATGAATATAATAGAAAAATTAATTGTATTTTAGAAAGCATCATTTGTATTTTGGAATTATTGTAAATCATTTTTTCTCAAGATTCCTCTCTCCCCCATGGTTTAAGTTTTCTTTTTCAATTTTTCATTATTCCAGGCTTTTGCGTTTCATTCAAATTTCTCAGAGTGTATAGAATTCAACAGCCTGGAATAGAAAAACTATGTCTACTCATTTCCACTCAGGTTTCCTTTTTTCATTGCTTAAACTTTCTTTGAATCCAGGTACTTATTGAGTTTTCTTCAAATTTACCCACTTGCCTACTAATTTTTTCTCAAGATTCCTTTCCCCCGTGGCTTAAAGTTTCCTTTTTCAATTTTTCATTATTCCAGGCTTTTGAGTTTCATTTAAATTTTTCAGAGCGAACAAAATTCAACAGCCTGGAATAGGAAAACTATGTCTACTAATTTTCTCTCAAGTTTTCTTTTTCCATTGCTTGAATTTTCTTTGATTCCAGACACTTGAGTTTCCTTCAAATTTATCCACTTGTCTTCTAATTTTTTCTCAAGATTCCTTTTCCACATGGCTCAAAGTTTCCTTTTTCAATTTTTCATTATTCCAGGCTTTTGAGTTTCATTTAAATTTCTCAGAGTGTGAACACAATTCAACAGCCTGGAATAGAAAAACTATGTCTACTAATTTTCTCTCAAGTTTTCTTTTTCCATTGCTTAAACTTTCTCTAATTCCAGGCACTTTGAGTTTCCTTCAAATTTATCCACTTGTCTTCTAATTTTTTTTCAAGATTCCTTTTCCCCATGGCTTAAAGCTTCCTTTTTCAATTTTTCATTATTCCAGGCATTTGAATTTCATTCAAATTTCTCAGAGTGAACAAAATTCAACAGCCTGGAATAGGAAAACTATGTCTACTAATTTTCTCTCAAGTTTTCTTTTTCCATTGCTTGAATTTTCTTTGATTCCAGACACTTGAGTTTCCTTCAAATTTATCCACTTGTCTGCTCATATTTTTCTCAAGATTCCTTTCCCCCATGGCTTGAGTTTCCTTTTTCAATTTTTCATTATTCCAGGCTTTTGAGTTTCATTTAAATTTCTCAGAGTGTGAACACAATTCAACAGCCTGGAATAGAAAAACTATGTCTACTCATTTTTTTCTCAGATTTCGTTTTTCCATTGCTTAAACTTTCTTTAATTCCAAGTAATTGAGTTTCCTTCAAATTTACCCACTTGCTTACTCATTTTTTCTCAAATAAATTCCTCTCCCCTTGGCTTAAGTTTCCTTTTTCAATTTTTCATTATTCCAGGCTTTTGAATTTCATTCAAATTTCTCAGAGTGAACAAAATTCAAGAGCCTGGAATAGAAAAACTATGTCTACTCACTTTTTGTCTACTCATTTTTTCTCAAGCTTCCTTTCCCCATATAGCTTAAGTTTCCTTTTTCAATATTTCATTATTCCAGGTAGGTAAGTGATATCAAGTCAAATTTTTCTGAGTTTGTAGCTCTTATTGAGTACTTCAATACCTCATTTGAAAAATATTTCTATCACTTGTGGTTTTTGAGTTATTTGATCTTGAAGTTTTTGATAAAATCTCAATCAAATTCAAACTTTCTTGCCTAATTTCTCAAAGCCTGTGAAAGCAATTGATTTAGTTTTTGGAGGTTTTATAGAGAATTTAATCTTCTTTCAGAAAATCTATAATACAAGTTGATTCATTGAGGATTACCAAAACTGTGAACCAATTTGTTAGACCATGTCAGATTTTAAGAAAATTTTTGGGGCCAAAATTGAGATTTGCTTTCCAATTTGTTTCTCTCATAAAATCAACCTCCTGAAAATAATCTAGGATTTATTTCCGACTAATTTTGACCTGCTCTTTCCATAAGGAAAGTTCTTTTAACAGAAATTGAAAATTTTGATTTTTCAAGGCCTCTTTGAATTTTTTATTCAAAATCCTTCATTGACAATATCTCAGTAAATATAAGCGGAATCAAGTCAGTCAAGAGTTTGTAGCTCTTATTGAGTACTTCAATACCTTTTATTTAGATAATATTTTCATTACTTATGGTTTTTGAGTTACCTATTTGATCTTGAAGTTTTTGATAAAATCTCATATAAATTCCAACTTTGAAGCCTAATTTCTCAAAGCCTGTAAAAGTAATTGGTTCAGTTATCACAGGTTTTATAGAGAATTTAATCCTCTTTCAGAAAATCTATAATTAATACAAGTTAAGAATTACCAAAACTATGAGCAAACTAGTGAGACCATGTTAGATTTTGAGAAAATATCTGAAACCAAAATTGAGATCTGCTTTTCAATTTTCTTTCTCACAAAATCTACCTCACATTTAAGCTTAAGGAGAGCCATTTATCGAATTTCTAAACTTCTCCAGTTGAATCTAAGTTCTACAAAGTCAAAATGATGTTTCAGTCTAAAATACATATGACTTTTCTAAAATCATCTGACAAATCTAAAATACATATGGAGTTTTCTAAAATACAAATGTTTATTCTAAAATACAAAAAGATACCTACCTATACTTACTGTGTAGATGTTCAAATAATATGATGGCTAAAAAACCTATTATCTCTTACCTAAAGTGCATATAGATTTCAACTTCTGCTGCAAGAATTCTTCAAATTCTGCATCAATACTTTGTCTGGATTTCGTCAGGGTCCCATCCACATCGAATAAGCATAAGATTTTACTTGGCATTGTTCTTCAGTATGTTAAAATGCACTTTTCCAGCTGGTCTTTGTCCTTTTTCTTCGTGATTTTTCACAGTTTTTCTTACGTGTCTTTGCAGGCAAATAAGCCAAACGTACTATTGATTATAGGTAAGCTTCAGATATCGTTATCTCAGTGGCGGCCAGTGGCAACCTAGTGTGGTTGTGCGCTCTTGGAAAATTTTTTGGAGGTGCCACGTCCTGTTTTACATTTATTTTGTATGTTGATTTTTTTTCTTTTTACTTTAGGAAAAATTATCGAAAACAAAAATATATGTATTTAAATGAGGCTTGAATGTTTGTATTCTAGCCATAATACATAATTGATACTGAAATTTATAATTTAAAAAAAAACCGCGAACAACAGAGTTGTCAAACCGCCAAAATGGTGAAAAAACATCGAAATATTCTCGATTGAGTGGAAACAACATTGGAAGTGTGTATTCAAATAGCGCACGGCGCATCCCTTTCATCGGGCGACTTACCGTATATTCCCGATCAATCGAACAGCGAGAAAACACATTTACCCAGAGCGCCGAACGATTCCACACCGACCACCCGGACCACCAGCACAACCAAGCGGGAGAAAAAAATATACAAGACAGGCGCAGGGTGCGCTTTCGTTCCGTTCGTGCGAATTTAAAAATAGAAAAATAAGTAGATATTTATCCTAATTTAGAAAATTGGGTAGGTATTTTTTAATTGAAGTTTCTTTTCTTTCCAAAATTTTAATTTTATTTTCTTGCTTGGTTTTTGGAGGCAGTGCGCGCGCACGAGCGCACTTATTGAGAAGCCGCCCCTGCGTTATCTATTCATTGCACACGTAAACAACTTTGTTTTTCCATAATCAATTTGAATTTGTATACAATTTGAACAGTGAGGCTATGTTTTCTGTTAGAGCACGTGGCGATATTGATTAGCCAGGCTAGCGGTATTGCCAAATGATGATATGTAGTGCATTCTTCAATACTTAAGGATTTTCCCTAAAGTTTTATGGGAAAAGATGCTGCCTAGACAGTAAAGAGGTCTGCATAACGTCTGAAGATCAGAAAACATATAGAAGACATCTTTAGAATGTTTCAGAAAAATGTCTTTTACGCAAAAGTCTTCTCAATAAGATGTCTCCATACTGTCTGAGCATGGTGCATACATTAACACTAAAGGGTTTTCCATCTAAAATTTCCAGATTCTGGAGGAAAATGATGCTAGTGCATTCAAAGAGTTTTCCCTCTAAATTTCCAAAGCCTTATGGGAAATGATAATGCTACCTAAACAACACACAAAGTCTTTTTTATGTCTGCATTACACGTCTGAAGATCAAAAAACGTCTATATAAGATATCTTTATAATGTTTTAGGAAAATGTCCTTCACGCAAACGTCTTCTTAAAGATGACTTCAAGATGTCTCTATACTGTCTGAAGCATGGTGCGTTCTTTAACACTAAAGGGCCCTCCCTCTAAATTTCCAGATTCTCAAGGAAAATGATGCTGGTGCATTCAGACAATTTTGTCTCTAAATTCCCAAAGTCTTATGGGAAATGATGCTACCCAGACAACACACAGAGTCTTTTTTAGGTCTGCATTACGTCTGAACATCTGAAGATCAGACAATGTCTATAAGACATTTTTAGAAAAATATCCGTTTCGCAAACGCAACTTCAAAATGTCTCTCTATCTGAGCATAGTACATTCATTAACCCTGAAGGGTTTTCACTGTCAATTTCCAGATTCTCAAGGAGAATGATGCTGGTGCATTCATTAACCCTAGAAAATTTGCTCTCTAAATTCCCAAAGTGTTATGGAAAATGATGCTACTCAGACAACACACAAATTCTTTTTTAGGTCTCATTAGGTCTGAACGTCTGAAGATCAGAAAAGACATCATTAGAATGTTTCAGAAAAATGTCCTTTATACAAACGTCTTCTTAGGGACGACTTCAAGATGTCTCTATATTATCTGAGTGCGTTCATTAACACGAAAGGGTTTTCCTTATACATTTTCAGATTCTCAACAAAAATGATGCTGGTGCATTCATTAACCCTAGAGAATTTTCTCTCTAAATTCCCAAAGTCTTATAGGAAATCATGCTACCCAGACAACACACAAAGTCTTTTTTAGGTCTGCATTAAGTCTCAACGTCTTCTGAAGATCAGAAAATGTCTATGACATCTTTAGAATGTATTAGAAAAATGTCCTTTTACGCAAAAGTCTTCTCATGGACGATTTCAAGATGTCTTTATACTGTCATCTGAGTATTGTACATTCATTAACACACTAAAGAGTTTCCCTTTACATTTCCAAATTCTCAAGGAAAAGATGCTGGTGCATTCATTAACCTTAGAGAATTTTCTCTCTAAATTCCCAAACTCTCATTGGAAATTATGCTACCCAGACAACACACAAAGTCTTTTTTAGGTCTGCATTACGTCTCAACGTCTGAAGATCAGAAAACGTCTATGAGACATATTTAAAATGTTTTAAAAAAATGTCCTTTACGCTTCTTAAGGATGACTTCAAGATGTCTCATACTGTCTAAGCATGGTACGTTCATTAACACTAAAGGGTTTTTCCTTTAAATTTCCAGATTCTCAAAGAAAATGATGCTGGTGCGTTTACAGAATTTTCTCTCTAAATTCCCAAAGTCTTTTGTTAACCAGACAACACACAAAGTCTTTTTTAGGTCTGCATTAAGTCTGAACATCAGAAAATGTCTATGACATCTTTAGAATGTATTAGAAAAATGTCCTTTTACGCAAAAGTCTTCTCATGGACGATTTCAAGATGTCTTTATACTGTCTGAGTATTGTACATTCATTAACACTAAAGGGTTTCTCTTTACATTTCCAAATTCTCAAGGAAAAGATGCTGGTGCATTCATTAACCCTAGAGAATTTTCTCTCCAAATTCCCAAACTCTTATTGGAAATGATGCTACCCAAACAACACAAAGTCCTTTTTAGATCTGCATTATGTCTGAAGATCAGACAACATCTAGATACCTACCTGAAAAATGTTCTTTACGCAAACGTCTTCTTTTATTAGGGACGACTCCATCCATACTATCCTCGATACTGTCTGAGCATGGTGCATTCATTAACACTAAAGGGATTTCCAGGCTCTCAATAAAAATGATGCTGGTGTATTTATTAACCCCAAAGAATTTTCTCTCTAAATTCCAAAACTTTTATGTGAAAACATGTCTCTATACTGTTTGAGCATTGTGATTCTCAAGGAAAAGATGCTGGTGCATTCATTAACCCTAAGAGCATTTGCTCTCTAAATTTCCATAGTCTTATGGAAAATGATGCTACCCAACATGATGAAAGACTAAAGAATTTTTCCTCTAAAAAGTAACTTTTTTTCCAGCTGACGATGGAGGTTTTGAAATGGGCGCTTACCTGAACAAAATCTGCCAAACTCCAAACCTCGACCAACTAGCGAAAAACAGTTTGATTTTCAATAAGGCATTCACTTCTGTTAGTAGCTGTTCACCAAGGTAGAAACATTCAAAATTTGAGCTTATTTTACTTAAAACCGCATATTTTTAGTCGCTCTGCAATATTAACAGGAGCACCTTCGCACCAGAATGGCATGTATGGATTACACCAAGGAGTTCACCACTTTGATTCCTTTAACACAATCCAAAGCCTACCCAAAATATTAAGCAACCACAAAATAAAAACTGGCATAATTGGCAAAAAGCATGTGGGTCCAGAGTCAACCTACCCATTTGACTATGCCCAAACCGAAGAAAACAACTCAATATTACAAGTAGGCAGAAACATCACACACATAAAACTTCTAACAAGAGAATTCCTAAACTCCACCAACCAAAATCCGTTTTTCTTATACGTTGCCTTTCACGATCCTCATCGCTGCGGTCATACAAATCCAGAATATGGAGCATTTTGCCAGAAATTCGGCAATGGAGAAGCGGGTATGGGTTTAATACCTGACTGGCAACCAATCCATTATCAATGGGACGAAATTACACCCCCATATTACATCCCAGATACTGAGCCTGCTAGACGAGACATTGCAGCTCAATACATCACAATGTCCAGATTAGATCAAGGAGTTGGCTTAATACTCAAAGAATTAAAAGATTATTTGAATAATACCTTAATAATATTTAGCTCTGATAATGGAATACCATTTCCTAATGGTAGAACTAATTTGTACGATTCTGGTATAGCAGAGCCGATGTTTATTTCGTCACCTTACCACAAAAAAAGGCGCAACCAAATTACCAACTCTTTAGCTAGTTTATTGGATATTGTACCAACAATTTTAGATTGGTTTGGTATAAGTAATCAAAATCTTACAGGCAAAAGCTTGTTGCCTTTACTGACAAAAGAGCCATCAGACAAGTCAAAAGAAGCAATTTTTGCCAGTCACAACCTGCATGAAATAACAATGTATTACCCAATGAGAATGATTAGAACCCAGCGTTATAAGCTAATTCACAATTTGAACTACCTAAGTCCATTTCCAATAGATCAAGATTTGTATTTGTCAGCAACTTTTCAAGATTTGCTTAATAGGACTAAGTCTGGCCAGCCAAATTATTGGTTTAAGACTTTGAAAAGCTATTATTTTAGACCGGAATGGGAGCTGTATGATTTGAAACTAGATCCTGCTGAGCTGAATAATTTAGCTTCAAAAACTAGCATGGTAGATGTGCTTGAAGATCTGAAAACGAGGTTGTTTGAGTGGCAGAAATCTACTCAAGATCCTTGGTTGTGTGCTCCGCATGCTGTTTTAGAAGACCAAGGGGATTTCAAAGATAAGATTGCTTGTTTGGGGTTGGACAATGGGGTTTAGTAAAAAATAAAAGTTTATTGTCAATTAATTAAATAAAATCTATAAAGGTGTAACAATGTAAGTACGTATAAGGATATTGATTATATAAAGAAATAATATTTCAGAGTTATTGGTTTGTTCCAACACCAAGTTTTGTGCAGAATTGTAACAAAGGTTCAACTTATATACCCAGTAAACACATCTGTGACATTAGTTTTATGTAACAAAAGTTTCAACTTTGAGGCTAAATAATTTGAAAACTATTTGAGATACCTGATTCAATTTTGTTTTATCTTGAAGAGTATTTAATTCTGGATAAGAGTATGTAAATATGAATCAGAATTTGTAAAATATTAATTGAGATATGGGCGATTTTATAAGGCAATGTCAAATTCTCAGGGCAAAAATCATTTTTAATTTTTTACAGGCCCTAAAACCTCGAAAAGAAAAATTACGAAAATGCTTTTCCACTAAATTTGACCCCCTTTTTCGATTGGTAAAGTCAAAAATTGAAAAATTTAGAAAAATGAAAATTGAAATTTTTCCAAGGAAATTTCATTTTCAATATTTTGGAAACTATGAGAGTTATGAATACGAAATTTTGTCTAATCGTAGATTTCAATTAGGGCTTCAAAAAAGGGTATCTGAGGCACCGAGCCCTAGGGCTTCGTTTTGGAGATAATCAGCTTTGAAGGTTTTCTAAAATTTAAGACAAAGTTTCAACTTTGAGGCTCAATATCTCTAAAACTATTTGAGATAAATGATTCATTATATAAATGATGTTTTATCTTAAAGAACATTTAATTCTGATTAAAAATATATAAATTTGCATCTGAATTTATGGAGTATTAGTTGAGTTATGTGCAATTTTGTGAGGCAATGTTGGATAATCAAAATTTTTCAGGGCCAAAAAATGCAAAAATCATTTTTAATTTTATACAGGCTCTAAAACCTCAAAAAGAAAAATCACCAAAAAGGTTTTCCACTAAATTTCACCCCCTCTTTCCATTGGTAAAGTCAAAAATTGAAAAATTTAGAAAAATCAAAATTGAAACTTTTTCAAGGGGTATACAAGGAAATTTCATTTTCAAATATTTCACAGGGCCGTATTTTGGAAACTATAAAAGCTGTCGGTATGAAATTTTGTCTTATCGTAGATCTTGACTGGGGCTCCAAAAAAGGTTATTTCAGGCACCGAGCCCTACGGCTTCGTTTTTGAGATAATCAGCTTTGAAGGTTTTCCAACATTTAAGACAAAGTTTCAACTTTGAGGCTCAATATCTCTAAAACTATTTGAGATAAATGATTCAATTTTGTTTTATCTTAAAGAACATTTAATTCTGATTAAAAATATATAAATTTGCATCCGAATTTATGGAATATTAGTTGAGTTATGTGCAATTTTGTGAGGCAATGTTGGATAATCAAAATTTTTCAGGGCCAAAAAATGCAAAAATCATTTTTAATTTTATACAGGCTCTAAAATCTCAACAAGAAAAATCACCAAAAAGGTTTTCCACTAAATTTCACCCCCTCTTTCTATTGGTAAAGTCAAAAATTGAAAAATTTAGAGAAATTAAAATTGAAATTTTTCCAAGGGGTATACAAGGAAATTTCATTTTCAAATATTTCAAAGGGCTGTATTTTGGAAATTATAAAAGCTATCGGTACGAAATTTTGTCTGATCGTAGATCTCAATTAGGGCTTCAAAAAAGGGTATTTGGGGCACAGAGCCCTAAGGCTTCGTTTTCGAGATAATCAGCTTTGAAGGTTTTTCAACATTTAAGACAAAGTTTCAACTTTGAAGCTCAATATCTCGAAAACTATTTGAGATAAATGATTCAATTTTGTTTTATCTTAAAGAGCATTTAATTCTGATTAAGAATATATAAATTTGCATCAAAATTTATGGAATTTTATTGAAGTTATAGGCGATTTTGTGAGGCAATGTCAGATAATGAAAATTTTTCAGGGCCAAAAAATGCAAAAATCATTTTTAAGTTTTTACAGGATTTAAAATCTCAACAAGAAAAATCACCAAAAAGGTTTTCCACTGAATTTCACCCCCTCTTTCCATTGGTAAAGTCAAAAATTGAAAAATTTAGAAAAATCATAATTGAAATTTTTCCAAGGGGTATACAAGGAAATTTCATTTTCAAATATTTCACAGGGCCGTATTTTGGAAACTATGAGAGTTATGGGTACGAAATTTTGTCTAATCGTAGATCTCAATTAGGGCTCCAAAAAAGGTTATTTGAGGCACCGAGCCCTAGGGCTTCGTTTTTGAGATAATCAGCTTTGAAGGTTTTTCAACATTTAAGACAAAGTTTCAACTTTGAAGCTCAATATCTTGAGAACTATTTGAGATAAATGATTCAATCTTGTTTTATCTTAAAGAGCATTTAATTCTGATAAAGAATATATAAATTTGCATCAGAATTTATGGGATATCATTTGAGTTATGGGCAATTTTGTGAGGCAATGTCGCATAATCAAAATTTTTCAGGGCCAAAAAATGCAAAAATCATTTTTAATTTTATACAGGCTCTAAAATCTCAACAAGAAAAATCACCAAAAAGGTTTTCCACTAAATTTCACCCCCTCTTTCTATTGGTAAAGTCAAAAATTGAAAAATTTAGAGAAATTAAAATTGAAATTTTTCCAAGGGGTATACAAGGAAATTTCATTTTCAACTATTTCAAAGGGCTTTATTTTGGAAATTATAAAAGCTATCGGTACGAAATTTTGTCTGATCGTAGATCTCAATTAGGGCTTTAAAAAAGGTTATTTGAGGCACCGAGCCCTAGGGCTTCGTTTTTGAGATAATCAGCTTTGAAGGTTTTTCAACATTTAAGACAAAGTTTCAACTTTGAAGCTCAATATCTTGAGAACTATTTGAGATAAATGATTCAATCTTGTTTTATCTTAAAGAGCATTTAATTCTGATAAAGAATATATAAATTTGCATCAGAATTTATGGGATATCATTTGAGTTATGGGCAATTTTGTGAGGCAATGTCGCATAATCAAAATTTTTCAGGGCCAAAAAATGCAAAAATCATTTTTAATTTTATACAGGCTCTAAAATCTCAACAAGAAAAATCACCAAAAAGGTTTTCCACTAAATTTCACCCCCTCTTTCTATTGGTAAAGTCAAAAATTGAAAAATTTAGAGAAATTAAAATTGAAATTTTTCCAAGGGGTATACAAGGAAATTTCATTTTCAACTATTTCAAAGGGCTGTATTTTGGAAATTATAAAAGCTATCGGTACGAAATTTTGTCTGATCGTAGATCTCAATTAGGGCTTCAAAAAAGGGTATTTGGGGCACAGAGCCCTAAGGCTTCGTTTTCGAGATAATCAGCTTTGAAGGTTTTTCAACATTTAAGACAAAGTTTCAACTTTGAAGCTCAATATCTTGAGAACTATTTGAGATAAATGATTCAATCTTGTTTTATCTTAAAGAGCATTTAATTCTGATAAAGAATATATAAATTTGCATCAGAATTTATGGGATATCATTTGAGTTATGGGCAATTTTGTGAGGCAATGTCGCATAATCAAAATTTTTCAGGGCCAAAAAATGCAAAAATCATTTTTAATTTCATACAGGCCCTAAAACCCCAAAAACAAAAATCACCAAGAACTCCAAGAAGGTTTTCTACCAAATTTCACCCCGTCTTTCCATTAATAAAGTCAAAAATTGAAAATTTTACAAAAATCAAAATTTTCCAATAGGTATACCCCTTGGAAAATTTCCTTTTTCCTTGTATAATACAAGGAAATTTCATTTTCAAATATTTTAAAGAACCATATTTTGGAAACCATAAAAGCCATTGGTACGAAATTTTGTCTATTCATAAATCTCAATTGGGGCTTCAAAAAAGGTTATTTAAGGCACCGAGCCCTAGGACTTCGTTTTTGAGATAATCAGCTTTGAAGATTTTTCAAATATTAAGACAAAGTTTCAACTTTGAGACTCAATATCTTGAAAACTATTCAAGATAAATGATTCAATTTTATTTTATCTTGAAGAGCATTCAATTCTGATTAAGAATATATAAATTTGCATTAGAATTTATGAAATATTATTTGAGTTATAGGAGTTTTTGTAAGGCAATGTCGGATGATCAAACATTTCCATACATCATTTTTCATACTTTATGTAACTGTGTTTACTGGATAATTGACTGATGAATAATAAAATACTCCTAAGAACCACTTAATTTTAATCATTTCTAGCTCATTTAAACTCCCTTAAAATTAATAAAATTTAAAGCTTGTTTTTTTCATACAAGGATATCACATAGTTAATATTAGAAGATAAATTTTAGTTTTTGCAATTCTACTAAGTATAAAAATTGACATTAAATTTTCTTGTGCTAGTAGGCAATAAAATGGACAATCTTATCTAAAGCAATTTTCCTATCTAAGAGTTAAAATTAGAAAATATTTGGTTAAAAACGTTGTACTACGAAAACTGGCCATCATTTTTTTATTTCAGTCAAGAGGATTTTAAGCTTTAAGCATTTAGGACCGATTTATTCATCTCTAGATAAAACTATCTGCAAGATAAAATTACTGGTCAAGGTTTTTTAAAAGAGGTAAGGTTGCTTGATAATTTTTATGAGGTCATCTGGGATACCTAAACGTAATGCAAATCTTCATTAGGACCTCCTGATGACGTCATCTGTTTACCATTAACATAGACCAAGGTTGTTTGAAAGAGATAGGGTAGTATGCCTGATAAGTTTTATGATCTCATCTGCGATGTTTAAACATAATGCAAATCTTCATTAAGACCTCCTGATGATGTCATCTATTTATTATTACCAGACCAAGGGGTAGATTGCCTGATAATTTTTATGACGTCATCTACGGTAGGTACCTAAACATAATTGTAAATCTCCATTAGACCTCCTGATGACGTCATCTGTTTTCCATTAGACAACCTATCAACTTTAGAAACCTGTGAGAAAGTTGTGAAAACAGACCTCTATTTATAATTCTATTGGTCAATGCATAATTGACTGCCCAATGGGATTACAAATTGCGTTTTTATCTATTAGATTGCATTAACTGACAGTAAATAAATCAGCCCTTAGGTATTTATGCTAAAAACTTTTGTCAACTTATCATAATTTGCTTTTTTCTTCTCATTTTCGTCTGCAATTTCTTCATTAAATCCGAAGTTACATTAGCTACTTTTAGAACTGATTTCATGTTATCTGATAGTTCATTTATCTGAAACAGAATTACAAGTTTTGGTTCAAATTCAGGTCAAATACTCACTCGTTCTTTGTAATCAGTGAACCTCAAATGTTTCTGGTGATTGTGGTAGAGCACTTTGAACTGGATCAGAAAACCAGCGGCCAAAAAAACGCTTATTATTAAATAGAGATTATTTAATCGTCTATTGTGGAAAATGAACATTACAAAAATTGTCAAGCATTTTCTCATAGAAAACGCAACTGGAACTGGATCTTTGAATGCTTACTGTGTTGTGAAAAGTGCCTTGTTCAATAATAAGTCATTTTAAATAGATGCCATTGCAAATTAAGTTAAATAATTGCATTGCAAATTATTTATTGCAAAATTAATATTTTATAATTATTAATTAAAAATGGCCTGACATTTGTCAAAAAAATCATATGGTCAATGGTCTCATTTCAAATGTATTAAAGAAAGAAAAAGACGAATATAATATTGTTGAAATGATGCAGTTGCCAAATGTATTTTGTAAAATAGAGATGGGCTATCGAACACTAGAGCTACTCGCTCCGGTGCTAGTCGACCCCAATTTGAAACGAAGAGACTCGTGGTGGGTGGTGCAACACACTTTTCGAAAAGAATAAGCACGTAACGCGTCTTGGAGCTGTGACTGTTCCAAGTGCCCTGACTCTTTTTGATCTGTTCAACTGTCCGAACTACCTTGACTGCGTTAGGTATTTTGCTCACGGAGCAGAGCATGCTGTGCGGAGCTGTAATCACGTGACCAGCGAGCGAACAAAGCAGTTGAACGTTGTATCAGAGTGCCCGAAATTTCATTAAACGAACGCTTATGAACTTGCACCGAGTACACTTTTTAGATCAACAAACGGTAAATTCAAGCTCACAGAATTCAGATCGTGCACGGCGAATTAAAAGTGGAAATTATCCATGAAAACAACCTTGTTCATGAGCTTACTTCATGTTTCAAACAGATCAAAGTGGGCCTTGGGCGTCCATTTTGAAATTAAGTTATTAACAAAAATGGCAGAGTAGTATTTTGCTTTGGTTTTTCACGTAAATTTACCGATTCATATTGAAAATTGGCAAGAATATGGCGGCGGGAACGTGGCTTACTTCTTTCTATATTCAAAAATGAAAAATTTACTAAAATTAGCAAGAGTATGGCGGCGGGACTTCTATTGTCGCCGCTGTCTGTAAAGGTTTATTGACTCACTGTAATATTAGCTAATGTCACCTTTCAAAAAAAACATATCAAAGTAGGCCTTGGGCAGCCATTTTAAAATGGTGTGTTTTTCACAAAAATGGCCGAAGAAGTATTTTTTTCGATTTTCAGTGCCGATACGTGTCTTAAAATGGTCTTTGTGATGCGAAGAATTGAATTTCCCATGACCTGCTGTTCGTTTTTCATCTTTTTTCAACAAACACAATTGAAAAAAGTCAAGAACAAAGACCTATTAGCTAACTTCACCTTGCAAAAGAAACATCAAAGTAGGCCTAGAGCCGCCATTTTAAAATTGCGTTTTTTTTACAAAAATGGAGGAAGAAGTATTTTTTTTTCGATTTTCAGTGCCGAAACGTGCCTTAAAATGATCTTTGTGATGCGAAGAATTGAATTTCCCATGACCTGCTGTTCGTTTTTCATCTTTTTTCAACAAACACAATTGAAAAAAGTCAAGAACAAAGACCTATTAGCTAACTTCACCTTGCAAAAGAAACATCAAAGTAGGCCTAGAGCCGCCATTTTAAAATTGTGTTTTTTTTACAAAAATGGAGGAAGAAGTAATTTTTTTCGATTTTCAGTGCCGAAACGTATCTTGAAATGGTCTTTGTGATGCGAAGAATTGAATTTCCCATGACCTGCTGTTCGTTTTTCATCTTTTTTCAACAAACACAATTGAAAAAAGTCAAGAACAAAGACCTATTAGCTAACTTCACCTTGCAAAAGAAACATCAAAGTAGGCCTAGGGCGGCCATTTTAAAATCGTGTTTTTTTCACAAAAATGGCCGAAGAAGTATTTTTTTTTTCGACTTTCAGCGCCGAAACGTGTCTTAAAATGGTCTTTGTGATGCGAAGAATTGAATTTCCCATGACCTGCTGATCGTTTTTCATCTTTTTTCAACAAACACAATTGAAAAAAGTCAAGAACAAAGACCTATTAGCTAACTTCACCTTGCAAAAGAAACATCAAAGTAGGCCTAGGGCGGCCATTTTAAAATCGTGTTTTTTTCACAAAAATGGCCGAAGAAGTATTTTTTTTTTCGACTTTCAGCGCCGAAACGTGTCTTAAAATGGTCTTTGTGATGCGAAGAATTGAATTTCCCATGACCTGCTGTTCGTTTTTTATCTTTTTTCAACAAACACAATTGAAAAAAGTCAAGAACAAAGACCTATTAGCTAACTTCACCTTGCAAAAGAAACATCAAAGTAGGCCTAGAGCCGTCATTTTAAAATTGTGTTTTTTTTTACAAAAATGGAGGAAGAAGTAATTTTTTTTGATTTTCAGTGCCGAAACGTGTCTTAAAATGGTCTTTGTGATGCGAAGAATTGAATTTCCTATGACCTGCTGTTCGTTTTTCATCTTTTTTCAACAAACACAATTGAAAAAAGTCAAGAACAAAGACCTATTAGCTAACTTCACCTTGCAATAGAAACATCAAAGTAGGCCTAGAGCCGCCATTTTAAAATTGTGTTTTTTTACAAAAATGGAGGAAGAAGTAATTTTTTTCGATTTTCAGTGCCGAAACGTGTCTTAAAATGATCTTTGTGATGCGAAGAATTGAATTTCCCATGACCTGCTGTTCGTTTTTCATCTTTTTTCAACAAACACAATTGAAAAAAGTCAAGAACAAAGACCTATTAGCTAACTTCACCTTGCAAAAGAAACATCAAAGTAGGCCTAGGGCGGCCATTTTAAAATCGTGTTTTTTTCACAAAAATGGCCGAAGAAGTATTTTTTTTTTCGACTTTCAGCGCCGAAACGTGTCTTAAAATGGTCTTTGTGATGCGAAGAATTGAATTTCCCATGACCTGCTGTTCGTTTCTCATCTTTTTTCAACAAACACAATTGAAAAAAGTCAAGAACAAAGACCTATTAGCTAACTTCACCTTGCAAAATAAACATCAAAGTAGGCTTCAGGGCGGCAATTTTAAATTGTATTTCAAGGAAAAACTAAAACATTTGTAATGAAGTAGGCTCTTTATTTTACAATCACAAAGGTTGTATTTTTTTTTCTTTTATTAAATATTGCTATTTTTCAAGATTTAAAAAAATTCTTATACACAATATAGTAACAGAGTATTCTAGATTAGAAAAACTTTTGCAAGATATGTTCAATATGTACAAAATTTCATTTAAAATTTGAGCTAAAAAATTGTCTACCAATTAATCAATTTATTTATATTTTAGTAAGTCAAAACTATAGGACTTAGGGCCAAATTATGGACCGACTGGTGACGTTATTGACAAATTTATCCTGCTGCTGATAAACCTAAAAATTACAGGTAAACTCACCAGTCAGTCCATAATATGGCTCTTAAAACAATACAAAAATAATTGTTTTGTATGTTATAACATATCTATATGGCAGGCAAATGGTTAAAAAATATACACTAAATACACAAAAAATATACAAATACAATAATAATAATAATAATATACAAAATAGTGAGCAAATATGAGGTGAAAAAAGAGTAATAAGTACAATAAAAATAATAATAACTATAGGCCAATATTTGAAACTTTCCAATAATCGTTGACATCGAAAAAATTAACAATTTTTAGGCCCAGTTTAATTATTCATCTTCTGATAACTATCTGCAATAATTAATGAGATTTTTTCTACCTGACAGTTTATCAGAAGGTGAATAAACCAGGCCCTTAAATATACAAAAAATATCTTTGGTATAATATAAATAATTTTATTTATCATTAACAAGAACATTAATTTTAATTAACAATTTTTTTAAAAAATAGTTGATTTTTTTTTTTGCTTATAGCAAAAATGATTGTTGAGGGGTTTGTTCCATATGTATGATATTTTGCGAAAATGATGGAACTCACCTACATTTTGAAAGCCCTTATTGCAAATTGAAGACATTGTGTACGATTTTGCAACAATGTTTCAAAATTTCAAAGGCTTTCTAAGGAAAAACAATATAATGAAAATTGACTATTAAATGGAAGCTCTATGGCGGTTTTATTTAAAAAAAATACAATAAAAAACTCCTACATAGATTTTTGTAAAAAAGTTATTGACGATTGATATTTTTGCTGAGGGGTATATAAGTAAAAAAAGCCCCCAACTTTTCACTGATATGTAATTTCTACATAATATTTACATTGAAAAATATATAGGCCAAGTTTTATATATAGGGCTGGACACCAAAAGTTTATGGCACAGATTTTTAGGCCCAAAGATAATTGACAAACGTCCAGCCGTTTAATTAATTCGGGCAACAATTTTGTTTAATTAACGGAAAAGTAATTTTTCTATTTGCGGTTTTAGTTTATATATTCAGTCTTTCGATAATTTTTTTTTGTCGCTACAATGATATAATCACTTTTTGCAGTATGTTACACCCTGTATGAATGATGTTGGTATTAGTTTTTGATTTGAAGAATATAAGGGAATATTGTCGTACAGTTCTGTAGTAGGTAGTTTTATACAGGGCTGATACAGATACAGCTTTTGAGAAGTAGAAGTTTCTGGATGTAGAATTTTGGAAAAGAGAACTTTTTCAAAATCAAAAAGTGCTGGTCTGAGTGCTTTAGGAGCATTAAGTGGAGGAGCTACCAATACAGTTTTCGATACAGTTACAACATTTGAGAAGAAATCTGTACAGACAGCTTTTAACCATCAAAGTATAAGTTTGATATTTCTGGCTGTAGAAATTTAGGAAAGATAAGTAAAAAAGAAAGCTGTATTAGTTGCCTGATAAAGAATCTTTTCTATTGGTGTAAAAAGAAAATACACTGTAAGCCAGGTGAGCACGGTCCAAGTGTACTTGGATCAAGTACGATAGGTATTTGCATCATTAACTTTTTATCCAAATTCGTGACGTACAAACATATGGGATTTCAGTGGGATTTTGTAACTCAAAAACTCATTTTTCATTAATGAATTATGTAATTGTGGTTCAAGAATGAGTAGAACTCAGTTTACTCATATAAAATGTACTTTTTACTCATCAGTTCAAAGTTTAATTCATTATTAGTTCAGAATTTTCATTTTCAACGAGTAAATTAGTCACGAACCTCTGCGGAACTCGCAGCAATTCACTCATGAATTTTACTTATTAGTTCAATTTAGAATTTTCACTCATTTTAATTAAAAGATTCACTAGTTTTCAGGTCGGAATATTTTAATCATAGTTCAAAACTCCAAAGACTGAATTAATTGAAAATATAATCTCATACATTTCAAAGTGTTTCTGGAAAACTGGTAAAGGGAAAATTTTGATACTTTTTGCATGTAAAAAGGACTCATTTTCCCAAAATTTCAAATTTTTCCAGTGGAAAATAACAATATGAAGAATCTTGGAAATCAACCTACAGTACCTAACTGAATTAATTGAAAATATACAGTCTTACAGATTTTAAAGTGGTTCTGGAAAACCAGTACCTAAAGGGAAAATTTTGAAATTTTTTGTATGTAAAGAGGAATTTTGGGAAAATAAGCTTCTATATTTTCCCAAAATTTCAAAATTTTCCAGTGAAAAATAATAACCTGAAGAATCTTGAATAAGATCAAAAATTGTTGGTCTATGTGCTTTAGGGACACTAAGTGGAGGAGTGGCCGTTGTTACCAAGACAGACATTGTCCTTATCCAAATGTATTTGGACTATGTCAACCTGATCCAACTGTATTTGGATTAACTATCTTTGGACGCTGAACAACTGTTTATCCAAGTTCAGTTGGATAAGTCCTAAATCCAAGTAGTTAGGCTGGCAGTCAACTTATTTGGACCGTATGAACTTAGCTTAAGAAGTCAAAGTTACTGAAGGTTTTAAAGAAAGTGGATGTAAACAGACCAATTCAAGTTATCATCCCTAGTTATCAATCAAAATCTAACACCAATAATTATCAAACATCAACCCATTGTCAAAATTTATACCAAATATCACCCACTTTTGGAAATTTTCTAAAGGAGATTTTTGTATTTGAAACAAAGAAAATTACGTTACCAACAAACTTTTGGAAATTTGAAGAAAATTTCTGTATTTGAAACGTGAAAAAGTGTATTACCTACTAGTAAACTCTATGATCTATTGGAGATTTGATTGCGTTACCAACAAGGAAATTTCTGTATTGAAATGTAGAAAATTGTATTTCCTACCAGCAAACTGTATGATCTATTGGATATTTTTAAGAGATTTCTGTATTTGAAACCATGTGATGTGATGTCCGGAAACAAATTACCATTGATGTCGCAAGTCAATATCACATTGGAATCTTGTAAATAAAGACTTGATGAGATTTTTATATATAAACGTTGAGTTAAAATTGATTTTTTCAAGTTTACTTTCTCAAAATCAAAAAATGCTGGTCTTAGTACTTTAGGATCAATAAGTGGAGGAGTGGCTGCTGTTACCAAGATAGTCGTTCTCCTTATGTCAACCTGGTGCAACTGTCCTAACTTTAGAGCAGGTAAAGCGCTGTCCTACGGACATAAGGAGTAGGAATACGCCATTCTGCTTATGAAACTAAGTTTTTGGCACCAAAATACAGGTAAAGCATTGAATTGCCTATACCGCCATTTTTTTGGTGCCAAAATACTTGAAAAAAAACGGCTTCATTTTCCAATTCCATTTTACTACTCCTCTTTACCTTTACCTATTCTTAAGTTCTAACAAACCCAACTTGACTGTCAACTAACTTGGACTGTGTCAACCTGGCTTAAGAAGTGAAAGTTATTGAACCTTTTCAAAAAAAGTAAAATGCTTAGTCTCATCCCTATAGTTATTCAATCAAAATCTAATACCAACAATCATCAAACAATCAACCTCTCTGTCACAAATCTACACCAAATATTACACATGCGTCGCCAAAGTACCACGCTTTATCGTCGAACTGGGCACGATATACTGACTCGTAGGCGAACTAGGCAGTCTCGTCACTTGCGGCACACTGCCATTCGAACCGTTCGACACTAAAGTGTTCACCGGACTTGCACTAGCCGTTATCATCCCGCTTTGCGACAAAGCCAACCGGGAATTTTCCCGGCTGTACGGCGGCGGCGCCGGAGTCGCCACCGGATTGGCCGTATTTGGCGTTGGTAACCCGACGCTCGGGTTCCTCAGGTACGGGTTCCCGTAGGTTGCGCTGAACCTTGGATCAATCCCGTTGGATTGTAGATGTAAATCTGATAGGTCGTTTAGAGGCAAGGCGTTATTGCCACCTCCTACTAGGAGCTGATGGTGATTTTGGAGGGAATTTAGTTGCAAGCGGGTCGATTGGAGGCTCTCACCGCCCAACGAGGTTGAAATTGGAGGTTGCATCATTGGAGGATTATAGTCTCTTGAGTAGTCAACATAAGGAACGTAGCCGTTGTTGTTTTGACCATCCTGAAATCGTAAATTTATTCAATTCATTTTGATCGAAAATAGCTATTTTTATAGACCGCAATTTCGAGTTTGCCTGGGCTAAGTAAAATTTATGTTCGAAGAGGGGTGGCGTTGACCCTCATCAAAAAAATTTTATCGATTTACCTTGGGTGGGAAATTAGGTTCAGTATAATCGGCCGAATATCTGTAAACATCTTGACCAGTTACACTAACAGGCCCCGCTAAAGGTACTCCAATTCTAGTAATAACAGATTCGCTTCCAGTTTCAGATTCAGCTCCTGGAATGTAATCCATGTCGCAGTGCATGTTGGAATTTGACGATCCAGTTCTAAGATCCAGCTTCAAATCGGAAATATTTGAGCTTCTATCTGATTCTTTGCATTGTTTTTCGATTGTGTGGGCATCTAAAAATAATAATCAGTTTTCAAATGTTCCACAAAAAAAAAACGCGGTTAAATAAATAAACCGTGTTTTAACTGCGCTTCAAACCAAAACTGCCGAGTGCCCCTCTCTATTGTGATTTGTTATACACAAAACTTATCCCGAAAAAGCACAGAGTTCACGTTTCATGATGGTGTTTTTTTTTTTCGTTTTTGTTTTGTTCGAAATGTAAAATGGGCCGGAATATATCAACATCCACTCGTGCGGGAATTATTTTTTTTTAATTCAACTTACTTTCCGATGGTGGTTTTTTGCTGTTCTGCCTCTGGCACAGTACAATTATCATTATAATGATTATTAGTACTATGATGGCTCCGATGACGCCTACAACGACTATCAGCATTGGAAAGCTTTCTGAAATAAAAAAAAAAAAACATAAAAATAGCTATCGTAGAAGGGTGATTTTTATGTTTGCGGTTTTTTTTTTTTTTATGATGGAAAATAAGTATCCATGATGTGTGGCAAGTTTACGAGTTTCCCCCCGTGTTATCGTATATGCTGATATGTTTTTGAATTATAGGCCAATTTTTTCGCTTACAATAAGATTGGATTGTTCAATGCTAAAAAGGATCATCAATAATTGAGTGATTTGCTTCATTATGTCACTGGTAAAGTAACATTCTTGAGCTGCTGTCGTATGGCAATCTGACAAAGAGTGGATAATTTTACAATGAGTTTATGTAACAAGTTGTTCAAGTACAAATGAGAGGATTATTGTGGGACTTATGGGTGGACCTCTGCGGGACGAGCGCAGCGAGTTCCGCAGCCATCTATTCACCAATATATTGTTCAAGTACGATACTAACGTCAGTTATTCTCATTAGTTCAAAAACTACACGTTTCAGGTGAGTGTAATTTTGGTGCAAAAGCCTCCTTACATTACTACTACCCAAACTAACCCAAGACCACAGCAGGACGAGCGCAGCGAGTTTCGCAGCAATTCAGAGGTTATTCTAACGTGTAGTTGGACACAAAATGTCTAGTAGGAAAAGTATATTGTGCAGTAGGAAATTAAAATCTGTGTAGTTATTTCATTTCTTCATTTATTACGATCAAAAAACTTGAAACTTAACACAGAACAAATTAAAAATAATATACGTGGTTGACATAATATGCTACATATGAGAATACAATGCACTATCAATACATGTATTCTAAAATTTCTTGCTATTTTTTTCCTCAGAACCATCTCCAAACTCTCCGCTTGCCTCATCCTCATCATTGGCATTGGCTTCAGCATTAATACCTTTGTACCATCTTTGTTATGTTCGGCCTGTGCAGTTTCATTTTCAGAATCTACTGACAAGCTACTTTGAGATATAGATAGGCTTTTTAATGTATTTCTGATACTTAGTTATAAGTCTTTCCACATCCGCACTATGCGATTTAGAATTCAAGACCTGTGCGAAAATATTTTAGTTGCATCAAGGAAATCCGAAGAGCTGGTTATTAAGTTAACCAACCCAGAATTCAGAAAGTGTCAGTTTCTGTAACTTTTCTATTTGTGGATGTTCTAGTATTTCGTCATAATCTAACTTGAATTGAGTTATAGGCAAAGATCTTTCCCCAAAATACGACAAACACTTTAATTAGGCATTCCAACGACCTGTCAAAAAGTGCGTTGTGGCGTGGCGAAAGTTCATTATCCCGTATATGAGAGTATGTAATTTAAAGCTTTTTAAAGTGCATTTTGTGGTTGTTTTGTGAATGGACTCTGTTTAATTTTTTATTTTATTGACTTCATTCAATGACCATATTCAATTCATCTGTCAAAACAAAAATTCAATATTGCGTGACAGCTAGGGATCGCCAAGTTCTTGACAATGACAAGATCAAGACAAGAAGTAATTTTATGCCAATACCAAGATTTCTTGTCAAGAAAACAAGAAATCTTGAAATATGTTGACTAACAATGGAAATGCTAAAATATAATTATTTGTGAAAAAGATAACATATATTCTAACATAAATAACACAAGATATTTTAATTTATTGAACTGAACATATTTTTCTCTAGAACAATTCACAAAAATGTAAATTAAGAGGGGCGTTTAAATAAAATGTCATTTACAGACCTTCACAAATTTCTGTTCAATGCCCACCTAATTTTCAATAAGTTGAACGTTTATCCTCCTTTTGCAAATGAATTGATCGACTGAAAATTACCGTTCTAAAACGGTTCTCATGACGGTTGAAAAAGTGCTTTCATCTTCTCTTAAATTTTCTAGATAAACCTCAACGTATGTTGTGTTTTAAAGGTAGGGCATCATCATTTGAAAGATAGGGCATTGCCCCCCAATGCCCCCCCCCTGGCTACGGCCCTGACAGCAAGTAGAAAATGAATGTAATTTGAAGATAAAAAGAGTCCGAAGTGACAATGGTAAAGAATTCTCAAACAATATTTTGAAGAATTTTTTAAAGCAAAATGGCATAAAATTCCAGCTAACAGTATCCTAAACATCACAAGAAAATAGAGTTGTAGAACGCATGAATCGAACAATTTTGGATAAGACGAGATCTATGATGCAAGAATTGTCTTGTGATAATCGTTTTTAGGCTGAAGCTATATTTGATCAATCGATCACCAACAAAATTGATCAAGGAAATGACACCAGAAAAATAGTGGAGTGGTCGAAAAGTAAGTCTCAGACATTCAAGATTTTTTGGATCAATAGGAGGTTTCACTTCATGAGAGAAAAAGTTGAAAATGGTTTAGTTCAGTTAACATATCTTCCAAAAAAAAAGATGACGGCTGACATTTGTACTAAACCATTAGGTATCTAGACAGAAGTTTGAGTTTTGTGTTGAAGCTATGGGTTTATCAAAATGATGGGAACTTCAGAAGACTGTTGTTTTAAGAGGGAGTGTTCGAGTGTTGAAGAAAGAAGTTTCCACTAATACATCAGCTAAGAAGTTTTCCTGTACATTTTGATATGTGATTTATTATTTATAACATTGAAGTTTTGTAATTGTACTTGTCAGAATAATATAATATTTCTCATTGTGAAAACGTTCTAAGTTTATACATCAATCTTTACAAATCTTTTACTTCCTACTTCACATGTGTCCTGCGTTTACTTATTGCTTACAAGTACTTTGAATAGCGTATTGATAAGTATAAATAGGTCCACTAATAAGTTTCAAAATAATCCACTCATTTGTACTTATAACTGAAGTTGGCACATTAAATTTGAATTTTGATTACAGATTGCAATTGCTTGTACTCTTTTCCTTGGAAAAAGAGGGTATTTAAAAAATATACCCATGTACGCTTATAATTACTTTTGGTGCAAAAGCCTCCTTGCATTACTACTACCCAAACTAACCCAACACCACTGTGGAAGAGGCGCAGCGAGTTCCGAAGCAATTTACCCATCAATACAATACGCTCTTCAAGTAAGACATTCACCTGAAACGAGTTTTTGAACTAATGGAAGGAACTCACAACAGAGTGAATCAGAAGTCAGTATCGTACTTGAATAGTGTATTAATAAGTAGATGGCTGCGGAACTCGCTGCGCTCGTCCCGCAGAGGTCCACATATGAGTTCAAAGTAATCCACTCATTTGTACTTATGACAGAAGTTGGCTTATCAAATTTGAATTTTGATTACAGATTGCAATTGCTTGTGCTCTTTTCCTTGGAAAAAGAGGGTATTTAAAAAAAATTACCCATGTACGTTTATAATTACTTTTGGTGCAAAAGCCTCCTTGCATTACTACTACCCAAACTAACCCAACACCACTGTGGAAGAGGCGCAGCGAGTTCCGAAGCAATTTACCAATCAATACAATACGCTCTTCAAGTAAGACATTCACCTGAAACGAGTTTTTGAACTAATGGAAGAAACTCACAACAGAGTGAATCAAAAGTCAGTATCGTACTTGAATAAGTAGATGGCTGCGGAACTCGCTGCGCTCGTCCCGCAGAGGTCCACATATGAGTTCAAAGTAATCCACTCATTTGTACTTATGACAGAAGTTGGCACATTAAATTTGAATTTTGAATACAGATTGCAGTTGCTGGTAGGTACTCTTTTCCCTTGGAAAAAAGAGGGTATTTAAAAAATTTCACCCAAGCACGTTTATTACTACTTTTGGTGCAAAAGCCTCCTTGCATTACTACTACCCAAACTACCCAAATTAACCCAACACCACTGCGGGAGAAACACAGCAAGCTCCGCAGCAATTTACCAATCAATACAATACGCTCTTTAAGTAAGACATTCACCTGAAACAAGTTTTTGAACTAGGGGAAGAAAGTCACAACAGAGTGAGTCAGAGGTCAGTTTCGTACTTGAATAGCGTATTGATAAATAGATGGCTGCGGAACTCGCTGCGTCTACAACTACTTTTGACGCAAAAGCCTCCTTGCATCACTACTAATTTGAAATTCTTCTTGGACTCACATGTCCTATTGGTGAACAATTAGTACAAAAAAATGGCCCCTAACTAATTCTACCATTTTAAATTTATAAAATAAATCCCCACCAATCAATAACCCCGAATTTTATTTTATTCGAAACATCGGGGCATCGGCGGGCGGAATATATTTTATTCAAACCGATTCGGTCCGAAATAAAATTGAGTTTTGTGCGGATACACGGACGCGCTTTTGAATTTATAATGGACCGAATAATGGGCAGATGGTCTCGGGGAATCGAACATGAATAAATTAAAAATTTTGTATCACTCACTTTGCGGCATCAAGCTGATTTCCACTACGTCGTTGCCGTAAGGGTTGCTCACGCTGCAGTTGTACATTCCAAAATGTCGTTCTTCTGATTCACGAATGATCAATGTGGATTTTATACCTTCAGGCAATGGGTCTTCTAGGATTGAGTAGTCTTGATCATGCAGGTCCACTTCTTTACCGTTGAACGTCCACACCACTCGTTCCGGTGCCGGAATTGAAAACGCTATGCATTCCACTCGGACGTTGTCGCCTTCTATTCCGAACTGAGTTCTGTGAGAAACTATTGATGGAGGACCTAAATAATATAATGAAATTTTTAAAAAATCCAGCCAATTAGTTCCTATGTGTAAAAGAGCCGATAATGTCTACATCCACTTTTTTAATAAAACATAATTCCGCTTTACATATTTACACGACGCCAGCTAAAAACCAAACGCGTGCTATATTTACTTGGGAAGCGACATCGTAATTTTCCCAGGCACGTTCATAAAAAGGATTCCCCTTAGGAGTAAACCATAAATGGGGAAAATTAAAAAAAAAAAAGTAACAAATTCCAAGCTATTTAGATAATTATTAGGTGCGGTCTTTGTTTTGTGGTGATATTCGATATACATGAAGCTAAAACTAGACAATGAATAATTTATTTACAAGTAAAAATTACCTTTAAGATAAATGGCAGCTTCTGCTCCAATGTCTTGGAACCCTGAAACATGAGCTTTACAATAGTACCGGCCGGCGTTGGCTTGATCCACTCGCAAAGTCAAATTCGGACTGGTACTGACTTTTTTGTCTTCGTGGAACCACGTGATGTCCGGGAACGGATTGCCGTCAACGTCGCAAGTCAATATCACATTGGAACCTTTGGAATAGAAGACTTGTATTAGGATTTTTCAAATCAAAAAAGTGCTGGTCTATGTGCCTTGGTGGCATTAAGTGGAGGAGTGGCATCTAATGCAAAAACAGTCATTGAAAAAAATCAAGCTTCAATGTAAATATTGGCATAATTAATCATAATTTTTATTATCCACATACGACCTCTAATCATTTATTAATGCATCAAACTTGTTTCCCATACATGATATATCGATTGAATGTCACTTTCTTTTTTTCAAAAAGCAACATTTGATAAATTATTTTCAATTTTCCCGGGGAATTGATGACATTTTTTTTTTCCGATAATATTATAAGGTACTTACCAATTTCGGCTTGAACCGATCGTGGTTTGGTGCGAAATTTCGGCCCGTCTGTAACACAAAGAAAAAATTATTATTAAACATTATTGTAATTTCGCCCCTCCGAGCCGAATCATCTCCGAAAGCAATTTCCATTCAATTTCCGCGTTATAGCAGGCGAAATTTCCCAACTGGGCAACTTTCGACTGTACTTGACACATTTTCACACACAGCCTGATGGCGAAATTACCCTGAAAAGGTTAGTTAACATAGCGGACAAGAAGTGAAAAGTAAATTTCCATATTATATAATTTCAAAGTAGCGTTTTCTATGGGCAACCTATACTTTGTTTAGAGTTAATTAACAATATTTTCCAACTTACAACTTATATCCAAGGTTTGGCTCTCTTCGCTTTTGCCTACGGCATTGATGACTTCGCATTTAACGATGGCGTCGTGATGTTTTCGGGAAATGTTGCGTAAAATTAGTTCGGTGGTAAAATCGCCAATGATTGGTTCGTCGTTGAGGAACCACTTGTACGAAACATCTTGCGGGTTCGCATCAGCTTTGCATCCGAGTCGCACCTCGGAACCTTCTGGAATGCGGCCGTTCGAGGTGGTTCCAGACAGGACTGTCACTGTTACTTTTGGTGCGTATTTTACCTGAGGAAAATTATAATGCGGATTTGGTTTAAGAGGAAGAAAAGTTTTTCGTGACAAGTACTACATTCAATTTTATTTATTTGGCAAACATCAATGGTAATTAAAATTTTGAATATTACCGGCTCTTGATTAGCTGTAGAAAGGTTTTCCTGCAAATCAATAATCAATTTACTTTCTCAAGATCAAAAAGTGCTGGTCTTAGTGCCTTAGACGCATTAAGTGGAGGAGCGGCATCTGTTGTCAAGATACTCACATTAAATTTTTAGTTCAGTAAATCTTGTTTTTAAAAACTATTTAAACTAAGAAATTACAACAAAAAATACTAGACTCTAATTGCTGCGGCAAAAAGCTGATAACAAAAGAATCTAGATTCAAATTGCTTTAGTCTAAGCTAGAATACAAATGAATGACTGCGAGCTATATTTATAATAAAATAGTGCTGACGGTGCAATCATGGGGGCAAGACCTTGATATGATGCTACTTTTCCAGTGCAGTACCGCTTATTTATAATATTTCAGTTCTAATCATGTGGGTTGCTTCAATTCGGATTGTCGTTACAGGTTCTCATGATAAGAAGCCATGTATAGGGTATCCATAACTCCCTACCAGGTGCAGTAAGAGTAGCTTCAAACCCCACAAGAAATATTGTTTAGCCAATCAAGAGCCGGTAATAATCATATTATGAATATGACAGGCTCTTGATTTGCTTCTAAAAGTCCAATCAAAAGCCAAATATCATTTAAACAACATTTTATTGACTACCGGTCGAAGACAAAAGCAAATTTATCCTCGAAAATAATTCGTAGGTTGCGGATGACGTTTTTTTCCCCGTTTGAAGGATGTGTCGTCGCCCCCGACAACGACAAAAACCGAACTGCGCGACGCTCATTATTGCCCTTATGCTGCAATTCGGGGTGGGTGCGCGAATTCCCTTTTATCTAACGGGGAGCCGAAATGCCCGTAGGAATAAAAGTTGTCTGGTAACAACGCGAAGGAGAGAGAACGAATCGGCCGTAACACAATTAGAGCTGCTGCGGCGACAAAGCAACAAAATGCCGTTTGCTTTAAAGAGCTTTATTACGGGATAAAGATATAATATCAAAAGTTTTACACGCTGATACCGTTTTTCGTACAAATTGGATTTTTCTCTCTGTTGTTTGTTTTCCCTGCTTTTGCGTTTCATCTAAATCGAGGGAGTTGGGGATTTAATGAAAAGTTTGTTTGAAACAAAATAGTTAACTTCAGGTGCAGGTTTCTTTGTGCTTCATTTGATAACACATTCCACTTCAATATAATGTCAACTTATTTCAAATAATTGTGACGAAGCTAACTGTGATGGTTTTTAATTTTTTTCTGAATTACTGGCATCAGTGACTGTGTTGGCAATAGAGCCCCTTCCTCCACTTAATGCCCCTTAGGCCAGCAATTTTTAAACTTGTAAGTCTCGCACCTCTTCACATCGTGGTGGAGGGACTCACTAGAAGAACAATGACTAGAATCACATGAATGAAACTTATTTCACCCTAACGACCATTAAATTCTGATTCAGAAGAGTTATTTTTTCATCGAAATATGTGAAATATTAACGAAGTAATCGATGATTTTGTAAGGTCATTGTAGGTATGTAGAGACCAATGAATGTTTTCAATTTGTATCAAGTCTTGAAACCTTTAACATAGAGTTGACACAATGTTTTTCTATTGAATTTGACCTCCTTATTCGATTGGTGAAGTTATAAATTTAAAAAACCCAAAGAAATAGTTTTTGAAGTAGCACCAAAAGAGCTGTATGGAAATATGACACATAGTTTCAACTTTGGAAGCCCATATCCTAGAAACGGCTTCAAATATTGGAATTAAACTTATTTCATCTTGAATAGAATTGAATTCTGATTCAGAATACTTATTTTTACATTAAAATACGTGAAATATTAACAGAGTAATAGATGATTTTGTGAGGTTATGTCGAAAAAATTAAATTTTCTAGAGACCAATAAGTGTTTTCAATTTGTTTCAAGCCTTCAAACATTCAACATAGAGCTGCCATAATATTTTTTTACTAAATTTGATTTTATTTTTCGACTGGTAAAGTCAGAAATTTGAAAATCTCAAAGAAATAATTTTTGATGTAGGACCAAAGGAGCTCTATGGAAATCCGACTCAAAGTTTCAACTTTGGAGGCTCATATCTTCAGAAGCGTTTCAAATATTGGAATCACACTTGTTTCATCTTAAAGAGCATTAAATTTTGATTCAGAATAGTTATTTTTACACTGGAATATATGGATTATTAACGGAGTAATAGATGATTTTGTAAGGCCATGTCGAATAAATGAAATTTTCAGAGGCCAATAAGTGTTTTTCAATTTGTTCTAAGCCTTGAAACCTTTACCATGGAGTTGTCACAATGTTTTTTTACCAAATTTGGCCTTATTTTTTGACTGGTAAAGTCAGAAATTTGAAAATCTCAAAGAAATAATTTTTGACGTAACATCAAAGAAGCTTTATGGATATCTGACATAAAATTTCAAATTTGGAGGCCCGTATCTTCAAAACCGTTGCAAATATTGGAGTGAAACTTATTTCTTCTTGAAGAGCATCAAATTCTGATTCAGAATAGTTATTTCCACATATAATTTGTTTCAAATATTTCCACTGTTAATATTTGAAATATTAACAGAGAAATAGATGAGAGAAACCAAAAAGTGTTTTAATTTGTATCAAGTCTTGAAATCTTTAACATAGAGTTGTCAGAATCCTTCTCTACTCAATTTAACTTCCTTTTTTGACTGGTAAAGTCAGAAAATTGAAAAACCCAAAGAAATAATTTTTGACGCAGCACCAAAGAAGCTCAATGGAAATATGATACAAAGCTTCAACTTTGGAAGCCCATATCTTAAAAACCGTTCCAAATATTGGAATCACACTTGTTTCATCTTGAAGAGCATTAAATTCTGATTCAGTATAGTTATTTTTACAGTGAAATATCTGAAATATTAACAGTGTAAGAGATGATTTTGTGAGGCCATGTCAAAAAAATTAAATTTTCAGATACCGATAAGTCTTTTAATTTGTTCCAAGCCTTGAAACCTTGACACAATGTTTTCTACTAAATTTGACTTCCTTTTCCCATTGGTAGTCAGAAAATTGAAAAACTTAAAGAGATAATTTTTGACGTAGCACCAAAGAAGCTTTATGGAATTCTGACACAAAGTTTCAACTTTGGAAGCCCATATCTTCGGAACCATTCTAAATATTGGAATGAAACTTGTTCCATCTTGAAGAGCATCAAATTCTAATTCAGAATAGTTATTTTTACATTGGAATATATGGAATATTAACGGAGTAATAGATGATTTTGTGAAGCCCTGTCGAAAAAATTAAATTTTCAGAGACCGATAAGTCTTTTAATTTGTTTGAAGCTTTGAAACCTCTAACATAGAGTTGTCAGAATGGTTTTCTATTAAATTTGACCTCCTTTTCCCATTGGTGAAGTCAGAAAACTAAAAAACTCAAAGAACTAATTTTTGACATAGCACCGAAGAAGCTCTATGGAAATATGACACAAAGCTTCAACTTTGAAAGCTCATATCTTAAAAACCGTTCCAAATATTGGTATCACACTTGTTTCATCTAGAAGAGCATTAAATTCTGATTCAGTATACTTTACATTGAAATATGTGAAATATTAAAGGAGTTATTGATGATTTTGTGAGGCCATGTTGAATAATTTAAAATTGTACATCCTTCTTGTTGAATTTTAGCATTAGAAGTGCCAGGAATAGAATTTTGATGCCTTTTTATATGAAATTTCATCTAATAGATTCAGAAATGAGATTTTCTCAATGTCGATCAATTTTTACTCAACATTTATACATTAAACAGGAACCATCATAGGCGTCCTGACGAGGCACTGGGTGGTTAAGTCTCTTTTAAACTGGGTTTAAGCTGTACTAACTCTGTATAAAAATATGTATGGACATTTTTCAGCCCCACTCCGAATGGGTACAAACATTACCAGAATGGGACTAAATTGTTGCAAAAGCGACATAGCTTATTTACTAATTTTCTATATAGTTAAATAGAAATCACTTGTAATAAACATCGTTATTTCGTACTTTTTTTTTTCCACAAAAAAACCAGAATAAACTAATTCATTTTTCCACTCGGGGGTAGTACAAATTACGTCCGGATCATTGTTGTTGGGCCGCGGAGCTATAAGGGCCCTATGAATAACGACGGGAAACGGATCCCTGTCCGGATAAAAAAAGTTTTTGTCCGAAACCTGGCCGAAACATAGCAACACAGCAAACAAACAAAAAATCATTAAATCATCAAACTTTATTGTTATTATTTCGTCGAAGAAACTTTACTGTAGTAGCCTCGTTAAAGTCGAGCTTTCAAATTACTCGTAAATTTTTAATTCCGTTTATGTATAGTTATGTAGCCCCCCTTTCGCTAAGTGCCCGTCCTTAGGGAAAAATGGTTGTCCGAGACATCAATAATTCATTCCTGAGGGAGTATAAAAATAATTTATTTGAGCGGTTTGGACAAGGAAGTTTGCGGGCTTTTTTTTATATACTCATATAGGTTGAGTTGTAATATTACAATGGCCTAGGAAAGGATTTTGATCAATAATAATTGTATTGTGAGGATGTGTCCGAGAGACTTTTACATTTTTGGTTCAATCATATTTTGACTATTATCGGCTCTTGATTGTAAAGTAATAATCAGAATATGATTATTACCGGCTCTTGATTTGCTGTGACTATTTTGACAATAGCGGCAGCTCCTCCACTCAATGCCCCTAAAGTACTTAGGCCAGCACTTTTTGATCTTGAGAAAGAATATTTATTATTCCAGGCTTCTGATTGGCTGGAAAATTTTTCTACAGGCAATCAAGAGCCGATAATACTCAAAATTTCAATTATCACCGAAGGTTTTCTTTGAATCCAGTTAATCGTAATTTTGAATGTGATACTTGTCACAAAATTTTTTTTAACGAAAATCGAAGTAAAGCTCAATTTCTACTATTATGAGGATTTGTTCCAGAAACTTTCACATTTTTGAGAAACTGGTTCACTCATGTTTTCATTATTATCGGCTCTTGATTTGCTGATGTGACTATCTTGACAATAGCGGCAGCACCTCCACTCAATGCCCCTTAGGCACTTAGGTCAGCACTTTTTGATCTTGAGAAAGTATATTTATTATTATCGGCTCCTGATTGGCTGGAAAATTTTTCTACAGAATCAGAGTTTGATGATCTTCAATATGAAACAAGTTTCATTCCAATATTTAAGTTTCATTCCAATATTTGGAACGGTTCTGAAGATATGAGCTTCTAAAGTTGAAACTTTGTGTCAGAATTCCATTCCATTCCAAGTTTCTCAATTTTCTGACTTTACCAATAGGAAAAGGAAGTTAAATTTAGTAGAAAAACATTGCGTTAACTCTATGTTTAAGGCTTCAAGGCTTGAATCAAATTAAAAGACTTGTCGGTTTCTGAAAATTTAATTTTTTTGACATGGCCTCACAAAATCATCTCTTACACTGTTAATATTTCACATATTTCACTGTAAAAATAACTATACTGAATCAGAATTTAATGCTCTTCAAGATGAAACAAGTGTGATTCCAATATTTGGAACGGTTTTTAAGATATGGGCTTCCAAAGTTGAAGCTTTGTATCATATTTCCATACAGCTCCTTTGGAGCTACTTCAAAAATTATTCATTTGGGTTTTTCAAATTTCTGACTCCACCAATCGAAAAAGGATTTTAAATTTAGTAGAAAAACATTCTGACAACTTTATGTTAGAGGTTTATAGGCTGGAAACAAATTGAAAACACTAATTGGTCTCTAAAAATTTCATTTATTTGACATGACTTTACAAAATCATCTATTACTCCATTAATATTCCATATATTTCAATGTAAAAATAACTATTCTGAATCAGAATTCATTGCTCTTTAAGATGAAATAGGTTTTATTCCAATATTTGGAACGGTTCTGAAGATATGAGCCTCCAAAGTTGAAACTTTGAGTTAAATTTCCATAGAACTCCTTTCGTCCTACATCAAAAATTATTTCTTTTGGGTTTTTCAGTTTTCTGACTTTACCAATGGTAAAAGGAGGTCAAATTTAGTAGAAAAACATTGTGTCAACTCTATGTTGAAGGTTTCAAGGCTTGAAACAAATTAAAAGACTCAATGGTCTCTGAAAATTTAATTTTTTCGACATGGCCTCACAAAATCATCTATTACTCTATTAATATTTCATATATTTCCATGTAAAAATAACTATACTGAATAAGAATTTAATGCTCTTCAAGATGAAATAGGTGTGATTCCAATATTTGGAACGGTTTTTAAGATATGGGCTTCAAAAGTTGAAGCTTTGTGTCATATTTCCATAGAGCTTCTTTGGTGCTACGTCAAAAATTATTTCTTTGGGTTTGTCAATTTTCTGACTTCACCAATGGGAAAAGGAGATCAAATTTAGTAGAAAAACATTGTGTCAACTCTATGTTGAAGGTTTCAATGCTTGAAACAAATTAAAAGACCTAATGGTCTCTGAAAATTTAATTTTTTCGACATGGCCTCACACAATCATCTATTACTCTATTAATATTTCATGTATTTCCATGTAAAAATAACTATACTGAATAAGAATTTAATGCTCTTCAAGATGAAATAGGTGTGATTCCAATATTTGGAACGGTTTTTGAAATATGGGCTTTCAAAGTTAAAGCTTTGTGTCATATTTCCATAGAGCTTCTTTGGTGCTACGTCAAAAATTATTTCTTTGGGTTTGTCAATTTTCTGACTTTACCAATGGGAAAAGGAGGTCAAATTTAGTAGAAAAACATTGTGTCAACTCTATGTTAAAGGTTTCAATGCTTGAAACAAATTAAAAGACCTAATGGTCTCTGAAAATTTAATTTTTTCGACATGGCCTCACACAATCATCTATTACTCTATTAATATTTCATGTATTTCCATGTAAAAATAACTATACTGAATAAGAATTTAATGCTCTTCAAGATGAAATAGGTGTGATTCCAATATTTGGAACGGTTTTTGAAATATGGGTTTTCAAAGTTGAAGCTTTGTGTCATATTTCCATAGAGCTTCTTTGGTGCTACGTCAAAAATTATTTCTTTGGGTTTTTCAATTTTCTGACTTATTACTTTGAATCCAGCTAATCGCTATTTTAAATGTAGTACTTGTCATAAAAAATTTTTAACGAAAATCAGAATAAAGTTCAGTTCATATACTTGCGAATTATGAAAAACGAATAATGATCCTATTGGTTGATTTTTGAATTTGCAAACAGTGGAAAGCCAATTCAACCAATAGGATCATTATTTGCAAGTATATAAACTAAATATGTTAAAATTAGATTCAGGAAAAACTTGGACACTGAAAATCTTACCTCTAATTTCAATTTTGCACTCCTGTGAGTCCTCTCGGCAGTATTCTGAGCCTGACACGTGAACGTGGTATTGTGATGCAATTTCCTCGGCGTCAGCTTCAATATCGATTTCGCTGTGTATCTTCTGTGATCTGGAAGTTCGTCTATGATGTATTCGCTACCGTCCGTAAGAACGTTACCTGTAACAATGGAAAACAATCCTCTGTTTATTTATTCGAGTATCGACCTGAATTACCACTTAATGTGTCGGGGTTTGATTGATGATTGACGCCGCTTAGGCGAGATGAATATGTTATGAAACAATACATTAAATCAAAAATTTAAATGTGTAGTTTGTCAAAAATAAACTTTTCTTTTCAACAAGTGTTTGCCTATCTGGGTCGTCTTTTGTTTTCTGGTACCTCTACGCTTTTCAAGGTTTGAAATATTTAATAGACTTCTTTTTGACGTTTCATTTATTCCTTTTTAACCGAAATGGATTTTATATATGAGAGAAATATTTGAAGTTTATTAGCAGTATGTTGCGGCAAAGAGATGTTTTGCAAAAATAAACTTTAATTTCATGCCGGCATTAATCAAGTTTATAGTCGGGCATTCGTACGGAAATTTCCCTTTAAAAAGGAAACATTTTCGCGCACGAAATCCACATTAAATTGTCTGGCAAAAGCGAATTATTAGTTGCTTACCGTGTCCGTCAATCCAAGTGATCTCAGCGGCGGGTTTACCGCCATAACTGATACACTCCAGCTCGATTTCCCGGTCTTCAGTGGTCACCATGTAGTCGCCCTGGACTATTTTGGGCGGATCCGGTGGTACGAGGACTGTCAAGGCGGCAAAATGACTCCGGATGCCGGGTTGGCCTTGGGGACCCGGCGATACTTGGCACTGGTATTTTGCGTCGTCGTCCAGCATTACTGGATAAATGTCCAGGGAAAAGTCACCTGGAATAGACGGGGAATTTATTATTTAGGTTGATGGATGGTAATTTTGAGTGGCAAGTATGTTTCGTTTTATTAGTTTTTTTAGATACCGTCCTGGATTGTTTCATTTTATGAATGATTCTCCTAGAGAGGAACTTCAATGTCAAATAACTTAAAAACCGCAAGTGATGAAAATATTTTCTGAACGGGTAATTGAAGTACTCAATGAGAGCTATAAACTCAGAAAAATTTGCCTCGATACCGCTTATATTTACTGAGTATTGTCAATGGAAGATTTTGAATAAAAAATCCAAGGGGCTAGCCACGGGGCTAGCCTTGAAAAATAAACATTTTCAATTTTTGTGAAATTGACTCTCCTAATCGAAAGAGAAGGTCACAATTCTACATTATTTTCAGGAGGCTGATTTTATGAGAAAAAAAATTGAAAAGTAAATCTCAATTTTGACCTCAGAAATTTTTTTTCATGGTCTCAAAAATTTGCTCATAGTTTTGGTAATTTTCAACGAATAAACTTGTATTATAGATTTTCTGAAAGAGGGTTAAATTCTCTATAAAACCACCAAAAAGTTAATTGCTCTTATAAGCTTTGAGAAATTAGGCTTCAGCGCCAGTAATAAACAAAATTTCAAATTTTCGGTCTTTCAATTCTTCTGGAGAAGTTTTCTAGTGATTCAAGCGCCGGTAATAATCAAAATTTTTAACAGAAAGATGTTTTAGCCAGTGATATTCAAAATGAGAATCTTCCCTGGTACTTGATTTCATTTGGAAATATTTTCTGATGATTCAAGGGCGAGTAATGATCAAAATTTTCAATCATTGGCTTTTGATTTCTTCTGGAGAAGTTTTCTAGTGATTCAAGCGCCGGTAATAATCAAAATTTTTAACAGAAAGATGTTTTAGCCAGTGATATTCAAAATGAGAATCTTCCCTGGTACTTGATTTCCTTTGGAAATATTTTCTGATGATTCAAGGGCGAGTAATGATCAAAATTTTCAATCATTGGCATTTGATTTCTTCTGGAGAAGTTTTCTAGTGATTCATGCGCCGGTAATAATCAAAATTTTTAACAAAAAGATGCTTTAGCCAGGGATAATCAAAAGTTTAAATTCCTTAGAAATTTCATGCATGTTTCATGAATTTAATGCTCTTTCTAATGATATATAATTTATTTCAAGTTGCTCAAAATTTAAGAAAGATATGGGTAATTGCTCATAACCATGTAAAGATTTTGAAAATTCTTCAGAGTCAAAAATAGGATTTCCTTTTTAATTTTTTTTTTCAGCTTGAAATGGCCATTTGGAAATCATGTCAGGATTATTTTTCGCTAATTTTGACGCGCTCTATCGATTGGTAAAGTCAAAATTGAGCAAAATTGAAAAATTAAATTAAAGATATTGTCGTATCTAGGATAATAGGACATCTCCCTTCAATAAATTAAACTCAATCGTCATTGGTTTTAAGAAAATCATTGATCACGTCACGTTTAAATAACATTCGGTTGCAACTTGAACGAATTATTGAATTATATGAGGAACCTGAACCCATGGAAGGTCAATGTCAACGACGGTTCACCAGGGTTGCGGTATTAATATGAAATAATGGGTTTTGGAATTTGAGAGGGTAGTCTACAAACCTGAACCTAGAAGATCTAAGAGAGAGCCAAAACCAAAGAAGATGGATGAATTTGTGACATATTCGTGTATTTCAAGGTTCAAGCACAGATAATTCATTATCAGTATGAAATGCCATATTTCGGCCTGATGCAGGAAAATTTCAGCTCCTAGGATACATATGGGACTCGCAAAAGAGGCAATTTATTCAAGAAATTTGTTGTCAGAAATTACTGGGAATAAGATAGGTAATGTAAGATTATTTAACGATAATCAGGGAGCTCAAAAACTTGCTAACAATCCAGTGTTTCATAAAAGGTCTAAAAATATAGACGTTAGGCATCACTGAACCTAGTAGAACTGAATTTCGGTTAGAGAAGCTTGAAAATCTCATTGTTTGCTCTCCTAGCTTTGAAATTTGAACTGAAAATGCATTAAAAACTCATTCCAAGTTTTACTAGAACCAAAATTGGACTAAAGCAGTATGATATTCTACCAGACCAGTCTAGAGTTAAAGTTCAACCACCTTACTTAACACTGATCATCAAAATTAATGAGTTGGTGTAACCCAAATAGGGAAAAGCCGAAAATGTGGTAGCTGAAATTACTGCGTTCTAGTCATAAATGGCGTTACGGCCAAAAATCTCCTATCGTACTGTTTCTAGTTTGCCTACAGGCACAAAGTTTTGGTTTTCTTTGCTTTCCTAACACACACTGATGAGATCTGATAGATCGAAACGTGTTTGTGGATGGAAAATCAACCCACATTTTCATCTTATTATGATTATTATTTGTTGATCCTCTAAAAGCATCTCAAATATTTTCAATTTTACCAAGTGTGAAACGGAAATTAGCATCTCCATCCATAAGCGTGTCTTTCACTTCTTGTTTGTTATGTCAATTAGTTCAATTTGAGTCAAGAGTGTGCTCTTCAAAAACCTTCTTCACTGAATTAAAACCCAATCGAACCTCCAAAGACGCAATTAGCTTCGGAACAATCTGATATTGTTTATCGTCCCGGCTCTGATGGCGTTTGAGATTTAATAGGGGGGCAAATTAAAAGCAATCTTAAATTGAGATAGAGGCCAATAAAAGTGTAGATAACACGAATTGGCAGCGGCAACGCGGTAGTAGTTTGAAACAAGGTTAATTTAGTTTCGAGATTTTATTATTGGGAAAAAGGATTTTTTTATTTTTGAAATTGTTATCCGTACAACTCTGATATTTACAAAGAGATTTATTAACAGAAGCTGAAACTTTGCTCTAACACCATTATTACTGGATTCGATATTACTTCAACCAATATGACGGAAAGTTAATTTTGGAGTTTAGATGAGTTTGAATTATTGAAATTAATATAATAACCTTACGAATCGGCATAGTCATAGTTTTCAATTTGAAAAGGCACCCCAATTACCTGTGTGTGTGTGTGTGTTTATTTAACTGGACAAAATACACATGCAATATTTACCTAAAAACAGCGAACCAAATATGAAAATTGCTGCTGTATACGTATACCCTTCCAGTGTCGTGTACATATCAAGTAAACAGTTTTTATATGGTTTGAAAAAGTAAATTAATTACTTGCCTCGGGATTAATCGTAAAATTTGACCCTTGGACCGGAAAAGGAATCATCTCGAGGTTTAAAAAATAATTGGGGCAATTATTTCTAAATTATATGAAGCAAAAAGGTCTAAACTAGACCCCTAGGAGCTTTTTCTATATAAGATATAAGTGTTCTTTATTGTTATTGCTTATGGTTATAGTTTTTTTCTCATGAGAAAACGAATCCTCATAGCAGGAGAGCTCTTGATTAAGACAATTTTGAAGCATAAAAATCTCTCTCTGTTATATATAGATAAACAAAATACAATTTGAAAAGTGATTTGGTATTCTACAAGCGTAGGTTAACTTTGCGAAAACACACGTATGACATGCACAGGATAAAATTACAACTTTTTTTTTTTATCGGGTTTCGCTTTTTGCCCCGGTAAAACATTTTGTATTCTTCGTCGTTTCAAGTCTTGACAGTACATTTCTACGTGATGCCGTTTCTACTGGGGATTTTACTTTTGAAACTTTTCGAAAAATCGGTTCGTTTTAGGCTTTCAGACAACTTACATGTGTAGTGTGTATTTATGTAATTTTTTTCTAGTTGAATTTTGCTTGGGTTTGTACGAGGCCGGAATGAAATGATAAAAGTTAAGTATCAGTTCTTTTCTCTTTTAAGCTACTGGTGAACTAGCTGCTGTTGGAAATTTTAAGTTGATTGCATTTTTAAGCGTTCCAAAATGTATTCTTATTATTCTGATAAGTTTTTAAAGAGTTCTGAAGTTTCTAAATTATTGTTCTGAAGCGTTCCAAATATGTAGTTTCTAAGAATCCTGACGTGGTTCATGCAACTTGTTGAAAAAAGCTATAGTAACATCCAAATGTGTAATCTCCAATCCTAGATAATCAACCCATTTACACTCCACCAAACTATTATGCAACACATCTTCAAGTGATACTAGCTCTCAAGCACAGTTCTCTTTGAATGAACTAATCTCTTCAGCCATAGCTTTTCTCCATTTCTCTTTCATTCATTTTCAGATGACTCGAGTGTAGGATTCTCTTCAGCAGATGAATCTTGGTTTTCCCCCACTAAAACTATGACCTCGTCTGATATTTCAAATTTCAAGTTTCTTGTCATTGCTTCCACTTGTAACATTACTTTTGACATTGAGGAGAACCATCTATTTAAAATAATATGTATGCGCTGTGAAGTTTTTGGGAACGGAAGCACATCACAGAAAATGAAAATACCGAACGACATTGCATGACTTGTATAAATATTTTCATTTCGTTCTTTTTAGTTGTCATCAGAATTATCGAAACATGACATTCTGATAAATTATAAGAAAAAAAAAAATAGGCATTGACAACATTGTCTGTCCTTGTTCGATGACGTTATCCTAAATATAAAATAAAAAAACCTATAGCTGAGTAGCCTCCCGTACGGGACCTCAGTACCTACTGGTGAAACTGGCTAACTAACTCTTCAATATTGAATATAAGAAGTGTTGACTGGACAATACTGTACTTCTTGCCGAGAGTATGGAAGATTTGAAGACCATGCTACAAGAGTTGAACAGTGTCCCAACAAAATACGGCCTTCAAATGAACTCAGCAAAAACAAAAATAATGTCTAACTCCAATGATGTTATAGTTGTTGACCTTGAGAAAAACAGTACAATTAAAATTATAGACGAATACGGGTACCTTGGACAAAGAATATCGTTCGATAAGTATAGTTGGAGAGCCGAGATATCCAGAAGAATTCAGTTTAGATAGATTGTATATGGAAAACTTATTGATATTGTCGTATCTAGGATAATAGGGCATCTCCC